TTGATATACAAGAGTATAATTTATGGATGAGTGAAACAGGAACAGATGGGACTGTGCGCACACAGATCTCCAAGAATGGCACGGAAGAGCAGCCATATGATAAGATTATGGTCTTCAAATCACCAGACGACAAATTTGCGATCGCTTGGGAATTCACGCCAGAACAGAAGAATTCCCTTCTCCTACTCAACTACGCACCGGACGACCAACTTCAACCAAGGCTGACGAAGAAGCAATATTTGAAACCAGGCGATCGTGTGAGGGTTGACCGCCCACGATTGTTTGATTTGGGTACTAAGAAAGAAATTGAAACAAGTGATGCACTTTTCACAAACCCATACCAAATGATAAGCCTGGGCTGGGGTGCAAAGGATGGGCAACCTGAGTATCGATTCATCTTCAACGAGCGGGGCCATCAGCTCATTCGCGTACTGGCGATGGGAGTTGATGGGACGGTGCGAGTGTTGATCGAAGAGAAGAGCGACACCTTCATAAACTACGCTAACAAAATGTCATATGAAGTCCTCAAACGGTCCAACATGATGATATGGGCAAGTGAGAGAGACGGTTACAATCACATCTACCTTGTTGATCTGGAAAAGGGAGAGGTGAAGAACCAAATCACACAGGGCCAATGGAATGTCCGCGATGTTGAGCATATTGATGAGACGAACCAGCAAATATGGGTATCTGCGTATGGTTTCAGGAATGACGAGGACCCATACCACCTGAATTTAGTCCGGATCAACTTCGACGGCACCGGCTGTCAGGCACTGACCGAGGGTGATGGGACTCACGTTTGGAAGTGGTCTCCCAACAGCCGATTCTTCATTGACACATGGTCTAGAGTCGACCTACCTCCACGCACTGCCGTGAGAAGTTCAGAAACAGGAAGTCTCCAGCTAATTTTGCATGAAAGAACGGCGGATGACTTGAAGGAAAATGGGTGGGATCCCCCGGAGAGATTCTCGGCAGTCGGTCGAGATGGGGAGACCCTGATCTACGGTATTATTATCCGACCGCCACAATTTGACAATACCAAAATGTACCCAGTACTAGAGAACCTCTATTCTGGTCCACATGATTTCTCTACCCCAAAGCGATTTGAATCAATGTCAAGGCTCCGTGAATGGGCCTCGCAGGGCTATATTGTTGTCATTTTGGACGGAATGGGAACAAACTGGAGATCTAAAAAGTTCCATGATGTTGCTTATAAGAATCTCAAAGATGGTGGACTCCCAGATCGAATAATCTGGATGCGAGAAGCAGCAAAAGCAAGACCGTGGATGGATTTATCGCGTGTAGGAGTCATAGGGGGTTCTGCTGGAGGGCAGAACGCCGTATCGGCATTGCTCCATCACGGCGACTTTTACAAAGCGGCAGTCGCAGATTCAGGATGTCACGATAACCGGTTGGACAAAATCTGGTGGAATGAGCAGTGGATGGGGTATCCGGTGGACGAATCATATGAGGAGAACTCGAACATCACCCACGCTGGCAAGCTAAGGGGAAAGTTGATGTTGGTGGTAGGTGGAATGGATACAAATGTAGATCCTGCAGCGACGATGCGACTCGTATCCAAGCTCATCAAGGAGGACAAAGACCACGAGTTAGTGTTCATCCCCGATGGGACTCACTGCGAAGGTATGAATGGACCTGCCCTAGGGCGGATGAAGAGGTTCTTCAAACAGCATTTAATCCCATAGTTCAGTTTGTTGTTCATCATAGATCCAAAAGTATAGAATGAAGAGCGAAATAGAATTTTTCTATTGCCGAAACGTGAAAAATTTCGTTAAAAATGATCATCAAGCCAAACCCGCTTGCTAATGCTACCAAAATGAAGAAGAAAAGGGGATATGAAAAAACAGGCGCCGCCGATGCAATAACCTAACTCCAGTCCTAAGACAAATACCTTTAGCGAACCTAACCACCTGCTCTTTTAAAGTCGTGTCGGTGTTTCCAGCTTTCCCAAGCACGACGTTTCATTTGCTCGCTTAAGCCATACGTCAACGCATTGATCAAGCCAATAAACTGTGTTGATGCTTGTAAAATACTGAGCCATTGGGGAGACGATCCATGCGTTGATTCAACGAGACGATTTGCTATGCCCGGTATCCATAGAATGATGTAAGCTATTGGATATCCGTTCATCAACAGCATTTTCTGGATATTCGGCGGAGGAGGCATGAATTCCTGTGACTTTAGGGTCGGTGTGAATGATGGTTGAGAACTGAGAGGTGCCACTGATCTTGGGCCCGAAGTGCTTGTTTGTCCCGAGACTGAAGGATGGAAATTTCCTACTGCATTCTCTAAACCTCTAGAGTTGACCTGTTGCTGGTGTCCATTCCCTTGGGACAGAGACGCCGGGCCCGAGGGCAGATTCTGATGCGTATCAGATGTGTATGGAAGCCCAAGTTCGGCGTCCCGTGTTTGGCTTTCGATTGAGACATCGAAAGTGCCCCCAATAGCCCGGACCTTTCCGTATATGCGTCTGATTTGCACGTAGATGCACGTGTAGATGGCTATCGTGGCGAAGAAGATGGCAAGCCGCCATCCGTGTGTGAGACCGTAGCGAAGATCGAGACGATCCGTCCGTATCCAGCACCAATTCCCGCTGACGAAGCCGTAGCTATTCAAGCCGAGAGCAACATTACCTAGGAAGGAAGAGTTAGTTGCGACTCATTTTGCCCCCTGTCGAGCTTGGGTCATAACTGGAAGAGTGTCAAACGTACTGGTTATTAAACCCGGAATCCAGGCGCCGACACAGAAGAATATCTGAGCCCGGGTTGATAAGTTTGATATCCAGTGCGCTCTGACTACTGATATGAGAACAATGACGGAAATGGTGAGAATGTTGAAATCAATGGTCTGGACGCTAAGCTGGTTGACCCAAGCATTGACCATACAAGCAGCGCTGGGGTTGGCATTCGTAGCTGGAGTGCTGCGCTGCGAAAGAAAGTAGGCTCCCGAGATTGTGTTGCCTAGACTATTCATCAAATCTAACGAAGATCAGTATAAAACAACCCTGGTTGGCGTTTCCCTCCTTGTCTGCAGGGAGCGCTCACCTGAGATCAGAAGGTTGACGATGAGCGCGTGGCGAAAATGCCGACCAGGCGGGTAGATTAATTGCAGCAAGAGAACTGTTGACGCCGCTAGAAACGAGAGCGAAGAGCCGATAAATGTCGGGATAGACACTGCAAGGTCGAGCTTCACGTAGCCTTCGCGCATCTTATTTCCCAAGTCCCTTGGGGACTGCTGGGGATCGTTCACAACGTTGTGTGATGGAAACATTCACCGAGCATTCTGGTGAATCGTCAAGAAGTGAGGCTGCCTATTTGAATGTCTAATTTTGGATCAGGCTCGTGCTCCCCTGTACGATGCAATATGGCCTTCTGCCGTTCTGCTATTGCTCCCATGGGCTAGCGGAGCGGGTGCTGACCCTTGCTAGCACATCCTTCGCTTCAGAGGCCAGGATAGCTGTGGCATTGCTTCCTGGTGACATAATAGTTCTCACCGTGGCTTGCAAGGATTCGGTGTAAGAGCCTGTATGGGCTAGTCAGGGTTAATCATAGCCCATTGTGTCACATCGCGAGCTCTCAGGCGACCAAATGGCAGGGTTGAATCCTTTGCCCGGCCTTGTCGTGCCGTTAGCTTGTCAGAGAGAAGAGAATAGGAATTGACATGTCATTTTAGTATAACATTTGTAGTATCTCAAAGCCAATGTGCAATATTTTTCTGTCGAGATTGCGCACATTGCCCTCGTTTTTTAGAGAAGAAGTCAACATGTTTGGTGGACCACTGAAACTGAAACCGCTCAAGGGTCGACTTCCTAGTCCTACTTCGCCAACCAAAGAGTCTTGTTCACATCATGTTTGAAGCTATGGCCGCGGCTCTTGATCCCCCAGCAACTTTACCAAGTACCCATGTTACTAATGTATTTTGAATCAGAGGATGTGTTGTAGAGAATTACCACCAGGGCTGTAACCGGCCCCGTTAATTCCTTCAACGGTTTGAGATGAACATGTACAATTCGCTAGCATGGGCATGTGATTGCTCAGTAAACGCAGGGGCATGCTCCAGTCATTCGTTCGGCAACTGATGGGTTGCTGGCATTTACTAGCGTGTTGAATGACTTGGCCAGTATAAGCGCCCTGCTTACTGGCTGGCTTTGCTAAGATGAATACAATATATAAGAAGAGAGAAATGGAACGCTGACGACCTCTTTGCTAAAAATGCCATTATCTCCTATTAGTAAATCATTCGTGTCCCATAGCCCGCATTATTTCACGTTATGCAGTCCGTAACGACAGGCCGCCCGGGATCGGCCAGCTTAACGAGACTCAGGGCTTACGATGGTTGTTCATAGTCGAGAAATTCTAGTAATCTCAAAGGCAGTGGTAACCAGTCTAAATAGACCTATTTGAAGTATGTGACCGGGAATTGTGTTTGATAAGAAAGCACATACAAGTATCTCTCGCAGAATGTCCCATGTTGGCAAGATACGGCACGATGGATGATTCCGAGCGCCAGATATAAACAATTTGCCTTGCAGCTCAGTGTTTAGATTACTACCAAATACGACTGATAGACGAGAAGCAGCGATGAAGGTTCGAGTTGGACTTGGTAGGTTGTATCTAACGCTACTTGGTAAGATTGGGTAGATGTCTATGCACTTGCGGCGCTACAGCGTATCACGAGTTTCACACTCGCGTGAGTAGCGCGGAATTCAGTGGACGTCCTGGAATCTAAGATGGACCTTGAGAGATTTTCGAAATGCTACAAGAGCGAATAAAGTGTCCACGATAGCGGATGGTGGATCACGAATAACTCGGGCTTCGTTGCTGCGCGGAAATCCGGAGCCCTTCCGAATGCCAATGAATCTCAGGCTAGTGCAAGGAACGCCGTCCTACCAGCGCAAGATTGTGGCCTTGCTTTAAACTTCTCCTTTCAAAAAGCACTACGGATCTTTCATTTAATTCCTATTCCTTTGGTAAATGGCCATGGGCAGCGTAGAACTCGGGAACCAAACGAGTTCTGCAAACCAGCACATGGATCAGACACAAGCAGCTAGAGGGCAATCTCCTAGCCAAGATGAGAAGCGGGATCCCAAGACACCTCTGGGTGTTTTTGAAAACCAAAGCTCTGTGGATGAGCCATGCACGAGAACAGTCATTAAGTGGAAACACGGCGACCCTGAAAATCCTTACAACTTCTCAAAGGTAGGATGGCGCATACTGTATCACATGATTGCATTTATGCTGACCCTGTTACAAATAAAAGACAAAAAAGTCGGCGATTTTGGTCTCAGCCATATGCCTTCTTGTCAATAGTACGATGGGCAGTTCGCTTCCCAGTAACGCTATTCCCTACATTCTCCACGAATGGAGTGTTACAACTCAGGAGCAGGTTATCCTATCTATCTCAGTCTATCTGATCGGATACGTGCTTGGACCAATCATCTGTGAGTATACACTTCTCTTTTACTCTACCATTTCTGCCACTAATTGCAGCAGGGGGGCCATTGAGCGAACACATAGGGCGTCGTAACATTACTATAACGACCTTTGTACTTTTCTTGATATGGACTATGGCCGCTCCGCTAGCTCCTAGTTGGCCCTCTTTCCTCATATTTCGTTTCCTCGCTGGTGCGGTCGGTGGTGCTCCGATTGCTGTTACCGTAGGTATCATGTGTGATATCTACAGTGACCCAAGAGAACGCGGAACTTCAATGGCTCTGTTCATGTTGGTAGGAATATCATTACTTCGATTAACCTACAACCATTACTAAGACCCCAATCTCTGGCAGCCGAATCTCTTTGGGCCTTTGCTTGCTCCTGTGATCTCAGGGTATTGTTCCACGACAATAGGCTGGCGGTGGTAGGTCTTATAGTCCCTCAACTCTAGTACTAGTATTGCATCCTTTCAGCGGCTGGTGGACTATGTGAGGAATAGGAGTTACTGACTTGCTACAGGACATTCTGGATCGCTCTCATCTATGGGAGCGCTTGCCTCCCAGCAATTCTCTGGGTCCCAGAGACTTTTGGACCTGCTCTTCTGACTCGGCGAGCCAAGAAAATTCGTGAGGCTGATCCCACTGCCCAGATATTTTCTAGGGCAGAGCTAGAGCCTCGCGATTCAAAGCAGCTTGTTACCCGCGTTCTCACGAGACCCATCAATATGCTTGTTTCGGAGCTCATCGTATCCAGCACGTGCGCATATTTAGCATTGTGCTATGCTATATTCTATATGACCTTTCAAGCCTTTCCGCTTATATTTCGAGATTTGTATGGATTGAGCCCTGGAGTAACCGGCCTATGCTTCCTGCCAGTCGGGGCTGGGTGTATCATGGCGCTACCTATAGCCTTTTTATGGGATGATTACCTCTCATCCTCGAAAGCCAGAGGGGACCCATGGACTAAGAAACAAGAGAATTACCGCCTCCCTCTTTCTATTGCTGGTGGCCCAATGTTTGCCATCTCACTCTTCTGGCTTGGGTGGAGCGCCCGCAAAGATGTATCCTTTGTCGTTCCGATGCTCGCTGGCGTTCCATTTGGGTGTGGCTTCACGCTCATCTTTATAGCAATGCTCAACTATCTCACCGACGCCTACGAGATCTACTCTGCCAGCGCCAACGCGGCCTCTAGTGGCACTAGATCCATTCTTGCGGTGGTTCTTCCATTTGCTACCTTGCCGATGTTCGGGAGGCTGGGCATTGCGGGCGCCTGTAGTCTCTTGGGCGGTCTGAGCGGCATCATGTGCTTCATTCCATTCGTCTTCATATGGAAAGGCGAGCGTATTAGAGCAAGATCTAAATTTTGCATTGCTCTGAAGGCGCAGAAATGTGAGATGGGGGAGAGGTCTAAGGGAATTGAGTCATCAGGCCAATAACAATCCAATGAGTAAACAGTTCTTGGCCGTTGCAATGCTTAGTTACAGTAGTGACGGTTGAGGATGCTGGGTTTGGTATCATTTCTTCACTAAATGCATGGCACTTATATGAAAGTGTAGAGTATAGAATATATTGATTAGATTTAGAGGGTACCATAGATACTCGTGGGTCAATAGCTATGATTGTAAGCATATTCTTCCGCGAACAAGTCTTACATACAGGGGGAGGGAGCGGTGTGCATTAACCCTCATAACGAGAAGTAAGCGGGATTGAACTGTGTCTATATATATTTTCGTTCAAAAATTCACGCAGCTGTGCATTCGGGCTCAGACATAAGAGATAAGTGTCTTTTTCATTTAAATGTCGCGACATCCTCTCGACAACCCCCCACTTAACGCGAAACAACTAAGTTATCAAGACTCAAAACGTTCAATAATCAGATGGCGGACTCCAGTGACCGAGGTGACAAACCGGTCGCCAGACTCCTTTTTGGGCCTCGCCCAAAGGCCAAGCCAGTAGAGCCAACGCACGAGGCTGCAGAAGATACCGACCCCCCTTCGGAACAACCCCCTTCAGAGAAGCCCCCTCTTGACCAACTCAGGGCTTTCCTGGAGAACCAAAGCCACCTGTTCACTTGTGGCGGATCTATACCAATTGTTGAAAAACGAGAAACTACTAAAACACGCAGGGCTCTCACCCGGGGTCGGCCGAGCAATCCGCTCACTGCTGATGAGCCCAGAACTTCTGACCCTATCACCATTCGCTGGGACGTTGCTAGTATAGAGGGAGAGACAGGGCAGCGTGGGAATCCATGTGATAAGATCACCCTTCCGCTCGCTCCGGGATCTGAGAATGACATTCAGCGGCTCTTGGATGGCACCCAGCCAGCCCCTTTTGGTCGTGGACGCGAGGATGTCTATGACGAGACGTATCGCAAGGCTCTGAAAATGGACACGACCGCATTCTGCTCGACATTTGACCCTTATTCACTTGGTATCGTTGACACAATTGCTCAAGTTCTTCTACCAAGTATCGTTGATTCATCCACTCACCGATCTGTACGAGCTGAGCTTTATAAACTTAATGTATGTCCGCATCTTAATTCAGCGGCGAGAAATTGCTTGTTCAACATGGCTAACGAGGCTTCCAGCTCTACACCAGCCCATCAGGAAAATTCAAGAAACACGTCGACACGCCACGATCTTCATCACAGTTTGGGTCCCTAGTTGTTTGCCTGCCTCTTGAGCACGAAGGTGGCCAGCTCAAGGTTCGTCACGAGGGCAGGGAGATTACGTACGACTGGGGCACTAGCTCTACTATGCCCGACTTTGCGACTATTCGTTGGACGGCGTTCTACAGCGATTGTGAACATGAGATTCTCGAGGTCACAAGTGGTCACCGCCTCACCTTGACATATAACCTGTACGCAGTGCGTGGTACAGGACGCTTGACTGGCTCGTCTCAGACACTTGATATTACACATCTACCACTGTATCAAGCTGTTTCAACTACCCTGAGCCGGGACCCTTTTGGCGGAAAAGGTGAGTTGCTACTATGAGCACGAGATCAGGCATAAAATGAATAGAACTGATTGCCAATACTAACACCCATGACAGGCGGCACATTGGGGTTTTGGTGCTCCCACGCTTACCCATTCAACGATCCGATAGAAACGCCGCTGCCGGATACCCTTAAGGGTGTTGACGCAGCAATTTGGGAAGTATTCCAGAAACTTAATCTTAACCCCACCGTATCGCCCGTCATTGAGTTGGAAGATCAATGGCATTGGCTCAAGGATTGGGCAGATCTTGAGCCCTCTAAAGCCGACGTTGAAGCTCATAAACTATGGGCGTCCTCGGTGCCAACGAAACTAGTGGCCGGCAAGCAGTTCAATGTGTTTATCGAACAGTATTACCAGGAAATATCAGAAAGTGAACGTCTCCACGAAATATTCACGTCATGGGGCCGCTACTTGGACGAGAAGACACAATGGCTCACGACACCAGCATCGCACTCGGAGCTGCAGATTGCATATGCGGCGGCAAGTAGTAGTCCAATTTCGAAGAACTACGAGCGAGGCTAATAAGAGATGTAGTACGGAAATCAAGCCACCGCCGAAACTATTTATTCTCATTGTGCTATTCTCGTGGACTTTCCCGCAAAAGAGGAGGCTTAGGGCGTTGATAAGTGGGAGACTAGACTGCTCTATCCTTCAGTATTAAATAAAAGGCTGAAGAGGTTTTCGTATGATTAGATATAAGCAGGCCTTTACGGTTCTAACTCTATTGCCCTCTCAACAACTCTGTCACCTGACGCGTCTTCTTTGTCACCACCCGTGACTGCATTTGCTTTTCAACAACATGGTCCCACACACCAGCCCATTAAAACACTCGCCAGCATGGATACTAGTTCCGATTGTTATATGTGCTCCCTGGGGCAGTGAATAAACTAGTAATGGACCTGGGGGACTCCATTTCGCCGAGTAGTTGCGGCTCCGTCGCGGTTCCGCTCGATGAAACGAAATCCTGGAGAAAATAGGCAGGTACAACTACCATTCAAGTGCCCGCGTGGTGCGGGTCCGCAAATGAAATACTTCTCCAGGAGATCAATGACGGGTTGAGGGATGCGGGAGAGATTAGGCAGATACACGCTTTGGTAATCGAGATTCTAGAAGCTGGGGTAAAGTTAAGTTCCTATATCATACTGTCATTCACCCATTATACTTGTTATTGAAGTACTGGATTTGTTTACAAGGTCTAAGCGCTTCCCTTGAGAACATATATTAAAGTCTATTTGACACATACAATTCGCAAGCAACTTGTCGCGTGTTCTCCTTAATTCAACATGACTCCCACACCCAAAAAATATGGAATGGTCCTTTATGAAGGCTTCCAGTTGCTTGATGTTACAGGCCCTCTTGACGTCCTAAATTTGCTTTCAACTCATGTTGACGGCATCTCACTGTCTCTTGTTGCCGAGACTCTACAGCCTCAAGCAACTTCTCCAAAATGTTTCCCAGAAAATATGGGAATGAAGCCATTTGCGACTTCTCAGGTCCTCATACCTGATCACACCTTTGAGACCGCTCCGCAGTTTGATGTGCTTATTATTCCGGGCGGGATGGGCTGCTTCGACCCCAATGACGCCGGCAATCCTAATCTAACGATCCTCAACCCAGTGATTCAATTTATCCTCAGGCAATACCCTAAGCTCCAGTATCTTCTTACTGTCTGCACTGGCTCTGGGATCACTTCTTTGACCGGTCTACTGGATGGCAAGAAGGCAACTGGATACAAGGGAGCCTGGAAGGTCATTCCGCCATGGCGCCCCCAAGTTAGGTGGGTACCGAGCGCTCGATGGGTCGTGGATGGGAACATTTGGACTTCTTCTGGAGTATCGTCGGGAATTGATCTCGTGTTTGCTTTTGTTGGAGCTACGTATGGCGGGAAAATTGCACAGGACATTGCTACATGGATGGAATATAATAGGCATCTCGACCCAAGTTTTGATCCTTTTGGTATCCAGGAAAACTAGGAGTTGAACACACTTATCAACATTATTTAGCAATAATATTCGGCTGTTAATACTTACAAGAAACATTTTTCCTTGTCATAATTGATCCATTTCAACTACAAGTTAGGCTTATAGGTCTAGACAGTTAACTTGGGGCAGAGCTGACTTTGCAACCGACGTAAACAAGTCTTATATCTCAACCTACTCGAACCTCCATTTTCTCACTCCTCTCAAGATATAAGGTCTCAAGAGCAAATAAGCCCCATCTATAGCTTACTTTGAACTTTACCTCGTTGATACAAGTCCCAGTCTACCTTTCGTCCAGCTTGGAATTCCTTCACCCCATAAGATCCTGCGCTATCAGGCTTCATCATTTGCTCGAATATCTGCTTGATGGCCGTCTCCTGAGTCTGTTGTCCCCCATGGCTCCAGCTCACCCGCACAAGCTCCTTGCACATCTTCAAAGCATCCGGCGATACGAATCTCAGTTCTGTGACAAGGGTGTCCAGGGCTGACTGTAACTGAGCTACGTCACTTGCAACGGCCTTGATGATACCCCTGGCCTCTAGCTCCTTGGCCGGGATGCGACGAGCAGACAGCATTGCCTCCCTGGCAAAGGGCACGCCGAATTCTCGAACCACATACTTGGAAATAGTCGCGGGACTGAGTCCTAGCCTTGCCTCGCTCAAAGTAACGCTGGCATCCTTTGTGGCAAGCCGTAGATCGCACGCAAATGCTAACCCTACGCCCCCACCGAAAGCAGGACCATTCAGACAGGCTATCGTCACTTTGGGGGACTGGTCAATCGTCTCGAACAGACGGTGAAGTCTTTCGTATTGCTCGTTAGCCGAGTTCTCGTCAGTGCCCACCGGGGTGGTGCTTTTGCCAAGATCCATGCCAGTGCAAAAGAATTTACCACTCCCGATAAGAGCAATTCGACTGATCGTCGGGTCATTGGCTGATGAAGAGAAGATTGAGACTAAGTCTTCAATCATCTTGGTGGTCAATGTATTGCCATTCCTCGGACGGTTCATTGTGATTCTTAGGTTGGCACCAGATCGATGTGTTAATAAACCTTCCGACTTTGATGTCTCTTTCCACTCCAAGGCAATCGCATGATTATTGGTGCTAGGACCAGGTCGTGAAGCTTCAGCTTTCTGACTTTTGGCTGATATAGCTGCCGAAGCACGGCTTGCTGAAGGAATCCCTAGTTTGTTGCTTATCCATCGCCCTGTTGCGACTAATTTTTGCAAATCAACATCAGTCGCGACGCGGGCACGGTTAAACATGTAAACTAAGTCTTCAGTCGCAACGTTCCCCGTAGCTCCTGGCGCAAAGGGACATCCGCCGAGGCCAGCGACACTGCTATCAAATACTCGGATACCGCATTGATATGCTTCCCAAACGTTTGCAAGTGCCTGGCCGTAGGTGTCGTGGAAATGACCGGCCAACTGACGGAGTGGGATGCCATTCTTGTCGAGGGTCTGAATAAGTTTACGAACATCGGATGGTGATCCAACTCCGAGTGTGTCGCCAAGACTGACTTGGTAACAGCCCATGCCTAACAGCTCTTTCACGACTCTCAGGACGGCAGATTCGGGAGTCGGCCCGTCGAAGGGATCAGCGAATATGCAGGAAACGTATCTGTTGCATACGATTAACATGTTGCAAATTTGAAGTGGCTCAATAAGGTACGTACCCTCTGACAATCATGCCGAGTTTCTTGGCTTCTGAAGTGACCTCTCGAGCTCTTGCGATCCCCTGGTCTACGGTGCAGTTGATATTTGCTCTGCTGAAACCCTCGGAGGCGGAGAGAAAAACCGCCACCTCAGAGACACCATAACCATCCGCAATCTTAACACCTTTGATGTTTGGAACCAAGACTGGTAGGCGGATAGAATGGGCCTGGGCCAGTTGCTTGATGGTTTTGCTCTGGAGGACCTCATGGCAGTCTTTCAGCTGTGGCACAGCCTTGGGAGAGACAACCGACGTAACTTCTATGGTCCGCAGACCAGAGTCGTAGAGCCTTCGTATGAGCTCAGTTTTTACCTCTGTAGGTACCTGGTTTTTGATGTTTTGCAGCCCGTCGCGAGGACCAACTTCGACGATGGTTACTTTCCGATCCATTTGAATGGTCGGCAACAGGCGCAGCGCATCAAAAGAGGGATAAATGCTTCGGTGATATGTCTAAACACGCAAATATTTTTTTTTGAATTTGCTGTCGGGTTTGCTAATCTACCTTGTCTGCTCTTCACATGGCCCCAAATGAGGCAGTTTTTGTACACGGACCGAGGTGGATCTTGACGGACCGATGCCGAACCTCCGCGATTCACTGACCAGCGACCATCTGCCCTGATCGACGGTAATTACTGGGCCCGAGGTTATTGCAGACAGATTTCTGATATTTCCCGAATCACACACGTTTGTCTACAAGAGTTTCTCTGAACACCAACCTATCTTCACCCAAGCGTCACTCGTTGTACCTCTCACGCAAACGCCATGTCGAACTCCTTCCCAGTCCAACAAGCGAAATTGGATCTTCGTGAGGCTGACTTCCAAGAGAACAAAAAGAATTGGGAGCCAGTCCTAGACAAACTAGACAAGGCCCTCAAAACTGTTAGTGATGAGGGCAATCAAAGCTCGATTGACCGGCACCAGGGCAGGGGCCAACTTCTTCGTTAGTAATCTGGGATCCTTTGTCGACGCCGAGGGTAGGACAAGGTTAAGTCGGAGAGAAACTAACTGCTTATCCATCCAGCCCGTGATAGGATCTCCCTCCTCTTGGACGACGACTCGCCTTTCCTGGAGCTATGTGCTTTTGCTGGATTTGGAAATGCCGACTCCACGCCCTGCGCAAACCTGATCGCCGGGGTCGGCAGTGTGAGGTATGTATCTGTGTCTGGGGGTACCAAGGACATCTGCTTTGTGACTGACAGGCTGTAGCGGGCAACGTTGCTTGATCATGTCCCATATACCGACACAAAAGGGTGGAGCGTGGAATGAGATGACAGGTGAGGCAGCAACAGTGCCAAATTGCTAGGATTACCCACTGAACCGCTTGACCAGTTCTCAAAGTAAACCGCATACTTGAGATCGCATCCGATAACGATTTGCCGTTGATATCTTTGGTTCAATCCGTGAGCCCAACTCCCGCGTCCACTGTCCATACTGATGAAATATCGTGCTCATCTTTCATCTAGGCAGGAGTATTCCTTCCGCAGCAGTTCCGTGTCTTCCACAAAGGCGGCCAGCTTTTTCATGATCTTGCTGTACGAACGTTGAACGGTAAACCATCATGTGCTGTTGTGTTCGGGTCCTCGACAGCCGGAGGAGCGTACCATCCTGCGCTGTCTGATTATACCATTTTTGTAGAAAAGCAAGCCCAAGCCTTTCTCGGAGGTCCGCCGTTGGTGAAGATGGCCACTGGAGAAGTGGTCAATGCCGAAGAGTTGGGTGGTGCACACGTGCATGCCACACTCACTGGTCTTGCTGACCAGATAGCAACCGACGAGTAGGTGTTGTTCTCTGGGAGTCCTCTGCGCTTAACTGACCGAGAACTTAAGGTTTGACGCAATTCAAAAGGCACGCGAATGGGCAAGTACTCTCAAGCCTCGACCCGGCCCGCTTCGCCTCAAAGACCCCTTGGCTCCACGATATCCCATTGAAGATGTTCTTTCTCTGGTCAACCCTGATATCCGAAAGCCTTTTGACATGAAGGAAGTTGTCCTTCGTCTTGTAGATGAGTCAAGGCTGTCAATCTTCAAGCCTAAATATGGCATAAATATGCTGACCTGCTGGGCTCACATTATGGGTTTGTAAAACACTTCAACCTCCAAACTCAATGGCAAAAAGTGCTTACTTCTCAACAGGGATTCGTGTTGGGATTGTGGCAAATCAGATTTCGATCATAAATGCCAATGAAGCGACCAAGGCAGCACAGTTCATTCGCCTGTGCAATCAAGAGTCAGTTATTGGCAATGTCCTCTACTCTGCTCTACTTCTAACTTGGACTCGTGCAGGCAAACTCCCATCATCTTCCTGCATAACGTGACAGGCTTCATGGTCGGTACCAAAGCTGAGCACTCGAGCATCATCAAGTTTGGCGCACAGCTCGTCTCGGCTGTGTCTTGCTCACAGGTCCCTCACATTTCCATCATCCTCGGTGCGTCCTACGGTGCTGGCAACTACGCCATGTGCGGCAGGTCATACAAGCCTCGGTTCTTGTTCACTTGGCCGATTGGCAAGTGCGGTGTGATGGGACCTGATCAGCTCGCTGGTGTCATGGAACAGATTGAGCGAGGCAAGTCTTTGAATGAAGAGCAGACAAATGAGAAGGTGAACGCTTTCAAAACCCAGGCGCGGAAGGATTCCGAAAGCTACGCGACAAGCGGTATGCTCATTGATGACGGCATCATCGACCCTCGTGATACTCGTGATATCTTGGGAATGTGTTTGGAAATTGTGGGCTCGACAAACGATTCTCGTGCGCATGGGAGTCGGTTTTTGGCACGAATCTGAAGTGTCAAAGTCCGGAAAGCCTTCTTTGTTTGAAATGAGCTACAGCTGTTCCATATGTATTTATTTTTATTAAGAGAAAAATCTAAATTTCTAAATTTAGAAAATGAACTTGAGGCTTCTCGTATATATTTTTTATTTAATTTAATATCCTAAGTAATTATTTACTCTTAAGAAGTCAACGTTCAAAACTGAATACTTGTGTTATTACTTGTCCCTCGTGCAAGTCTCGGAGGTAGTTGAGAGGATGAAGCCTGACCAATAATTGGAATATTAAGCTCTTCCACCACAGAGGAAGATCGGCCACAGCTCATGCTCCGAACCAGATGCATAAAAATCGGTTCCAAGTATCATGTCTGGAGAATATGCCACTTCCCGGTCCGGCTCGGTTGAAGCTGGTTGTCGCGGACCGATGCGGGTCTCTGGATCCGCGGAGCAAATCAAGAAACCCTGCTTTGTCACCTGGACGGCATTAGCATTGCCGTGAACCTGTTAAGAATATCTCGGCTAGTATCGCTTTCTTGAATTCGTTTAGCTCTACTTGTATTTCGCCATTCATAGAGGCTAGGAGTTTGTTGCCCTTACATAGACTTGACTGGAAATGGATCACACACAAGATGGACAGGCCCTGTCACAACGACCACCTCTTGCGGTGGCACCTATCCCACTCGACCCTGACACAGGCGCTCCGTATATACGGAAGCTGTTCATTGCCAACCGGGGAGAAATTGCCTGTCGTGTCATTTCCACCTGCAAGAAGCTCCAGGTTCACACCGTGGCCATCTACGTGACAGAGTAAGAGCAACCAGAATCCCTAAATAGCGATAGTTGGACTAACCTGCCGCTATAGAGATGAAATGTCCAGACACGTGTCCGAGGCGGATGAAGCGATACTGCTGGGGAGTATGGAGAGCCATACGACCAACCCGTTCCTAAACGTGGATCTGCTTATCAAGATGGCACTGGACTCTGGCGCGCAAGCCATTCACCCGGGATATGGCTATCTGAGCGAGAACGCCGATTTTGCTGAGCGAGTCGGAAATGCTGGGCTCATATTCATCGGACCTAGTGCTGCTGCCATGTCAACACTGGGCGACAAGCGGAGCTCGAAGCAATACCTTAGTGACAAGGCGCCGGATGTACCCTTGATCCCCGGTTTCTCGGGGTCTAGCACACAAGTCCATGATCTTGAGAAGGCGGCCGCAGCTATTGGATATCCAATCATGCTCAAAGCCTCGGCGGGAGGCGGAGGCAAGGGTATGCGAATCGTTCGCCAAGCATCGCAGCTCAGCGAGGAACTCACAAGGGTCCAGTCCGAGGCGGCGAGGTCTTTCGGATCGACCGATGTCATATTGGAAAAGTACATTGAGAGCAGCAAGCACGTGGAGATCCAGATTGTCGGTGATAAGCATGGAAATGTCCTGAGCTTTTTCGAGAGAGACTGCTCTGTGCAGCGTCGGCATCAAAAGGTCATCGAGGAGAGCCCCTGTCCCTTCTTGAGTGATGAGCTTCGCTCTAGTATGGGACAGACAGCAACGCGCATTGCCAAGTTGATCGGGTATGAAAACGCCGGCACCGTCGAGTTTGTAGTCGACGTTGAAACATCTCAGTATTTCTTTCTCGAAGTCAACACAAGGTTGCAAGTAGAGCATCCAATCACGGAAGAGGTCACGGGAGTAGACCTCGTGTCGGTCCAGCTCTACGTTGCATGCGGAGGAGATTTGGGTTCGCTCTCAGCTACGAAGCAACTCACGCAAAACGGTCACGCAATTGAGTGTCGGTTGTGTGCTGAGAGTCCTGAAAAAGACTTCTTCCCCGAGAATGGACTCATATCTCTCTGGAAACCAGCAGTGGGATTGCTTGGCCCAGGCAGAGACATCAGGTATGAGACGGCCATCCAGTCAGGCTCCTCGATCTCCATCTATTTCGACTCCATGATCGCCAAATTGGTTGTATGGGCCCCTACGAGAGACATTGCCATACAAAAGATGGCAGACCTTTTGGCTAACACACTCTGTATGGGTGTGAGAACGAACCAGCTTTTCCTTCAACGGTGTCTTCTCCACCCCAAGTTCCGAGACCTGAAGTACAACACATCCTTCATCCCACAAAATCTAAACCAGCTTCTTCGTCCTTCCCTCACCGATAAGCAAAAAAGGTTTAGAGAAGAACTCATAGTTGTTCCATCCCTGTTCATGCGACTTCAAGCCGGCGGGAAAGAGAGTGGCTCCCAGGTTGAGCGGCCGTTTCAGAATGTGCGCTCCCATTTCCGCAATCAGCGCTTCGACCCGGGAAGTATCCGATCTGATGTTGTCACTACTGATTGGCAAGGACTGGGGGCCTCCACAGACGCCCCAGCGCCTCAATCGAGTTTGTTACTTTGGAAGATGGCGGCGCATGACAGTGCCCAGGCGAAAGAATACGAGGCTGCTGTGATACCTTTTGCTGACATCCTCAACTCAGCGTCTAAGAGAGACTCAAAGGCAGTAGAAGACAATGCCACTTCCACTTCGAGCACGAAGCAGATGGCAATTCTGTATAATCAAATCAGCAACCATGTCCGACAAGCGTCTTCCCAGTTCCCTCAACCAATAACTGTCAAGGTCTTGAGCTGGAACTCCCCTAGTGCAGCTGGCCAAGACGCTACTCCAGGAATCTTGGAAGTGTCACTTGACGGAACCAAAGTGGTGGCATATTGTATCGAGCCCAGGGCATCAGAGAGCAGTGACCAAGCTAAGGGACGCTCAAGGTTTATTCTCTGCCACTTCCCAGTTCTTGGGACGTTTATACGGTTTCAAAAAGATACCTTGCTCTCATATATGGAGGGATATCGCACCTCGGTAGAAGATCAAAGCGCTACGCAGGGAGATATCAAAGCTCCAATGCCGTGTAAAGTGCTATCTATTCCGAAGTCTCAAGGTGAGGAGGTCAAGAAAGGGGAAACCATCATGGTGATTGAGAGTATGAAAATGGAAGTGAGCTTGAAAGCTAACGTGGACGGCCGCTTCGAGACATCATGGAAGGTTGGAGATGCAGTAGCGGAAGAGAAGGTGCTTTGCCGGGTAGTGTAGAGTGTAAGGTACTGTACGGTCTGCACCACAACGTCGCTGTGTTCTTGAGACAAGTAATTTATAGAATGGTTTCATTGATAGATCCTTGACATGTTACGGTTTCGGCTAGATTGGGCTGTTCGACATTGTAAATTTTAACATGGAAGTAAAAGCCAATTCTAAGTCTAATCAAGGATCGGTTAACAGTGCAAGGCATCAATTTTGGATAGTGTAAACAATCTATAAAAGTGATTCATCTCTAAACTAAGCCTTATGTTCTCTCATTTTAGGGTGATGGCGGATTGTGCGTGGTGTGTCAATCTTGTACCTTCCGTTGCGTTTACCAAAAGTGCTCCCATAATAAAATTGAAGTATGAAAAGTACCCTTTACCGGTTAATGCCATCCCGACTCATCTGTCATTAAATGAACATATCCCTAGCGTCGGTCCGATCGGACCGGATTTTCCCAGCAACATGCGAGTGAAGAATGAACTATGGAACACTGGTACTTTGCACGCCCTTCCTTGGTGCTATTCAGTAACTTATCGGACCTGATACCTTATTCAATGCCGAAGAAAATCCGCGAGGTGATGTAATAGTTGTACCGTATTGATCTGATGTCTAGGCTCGGGAGCAACTCCCGGGATATACCGTGTCTTACAGTATACCAATAGAAGGCCATATTTTATTCAACGACCTTACTTCGGCCGATTTCTATTCCTACGCCTGTATCTAAAGAGAGCTTTTGTGGAGTGCTGCCGGTATGGCGAATGACTGTCCCGACCATATCACTCCAAGCAGTGGCTGCCTTGCTGAGAATGAGAGCTGTGCTCTCCCAACACCAGAATCCTTGGGTGTCGACTGTCCCAGCCCCAGTCTTGTACTTTCCACATCACCAATTTCAAATTTAGCTCCAAAGCCCGATAGCCATCGGACTGGACCATTGGCGAAACCAGTGTCAGGGAGAGCAACCCGAGCTTGTTTGGGATGCAGGTCTCGCAAAGTCCGATGTGATGTGACACGAAGATGGCCGTGTGGTAACTGCAAATGGACTGACCGAGCCTGCATTGTGAGGGACCGCCGCCCGCGAAAGTATGTATCGCCCATCTCACCACTAGTCAAGGGTTCCACTTTGTCTATCGGTCCAAAATGACATAACTGACTAGAAGCTTAGAAGTAGCACATTCCGGCTGTACGATCTTTACAACGTGGCAGAGGACGAGCAGTGTGAGCAATCTCCGCGCAACGACAACTACGCAGAGGGGGATTCTCCATGCTCACAAAGCTTGAGTTCTCACTGTTCTGATTCGAACTCGGCAGTCACCACAAAATCCCGATCATGCTCGAAACCAAACAAAGAATATATGCCAAAACAGTCGCGCTCAGATCAAGTCTCCATATCAGACCCTTTCTCGCCGGTTATGTCGTTGCCATGGTTCATTAGGCCACTGCATTGGGGTATTGATACGGGTGACCTGGACTTCTTACTATCGAAAGGAGCGTTGTCCCTCCCGAGCCATGCTCTTCAGTTGGCCCTTGTCCGCGCATACGTGGACAACATTTACTCGCATATCCCGATTATTGATCTTTCTCACTTTCTGGAATGCATCACGGCAACTGATCAAGTTGCACCCCGAGTCAGTTTGCTTCTCTACCAGGCCATTCTTGCGGCTGGAACAGCCTGTGTAAGGATCGAAGACCTGAAAGAAGCGGGGTTTCAAACAAGAAAGAGTGCTCGCAGAATATTCTTGGACAAAGTGAGGGTAAGTCAGATTCTTCCTTCGAGTGACGAATCTTGAAGACGGGCTCGCTAACACAACCCAGCTACTCTATGACTTTAACTGCGAACTCGACCAGCAAATCGTTGTACAGGTCTTGCTACTCATGTCCCTGGCTTATGAGGAGCCAGTCGGGCGCCGAAGCAGTTTTTATTGGCTCGACACAGCCATCTCCCAGGCTTTTGCCAGTAAACTTCATTACGACCCGAGCATGCTCGGATTAGCACTGCCTATACAGACTTTGAGGATCCGCCGACGCCTATGGTGGTGCTGTTATAATCTTGATCGTCTAGTCAGCTTGGGAACAGGCCGAACCAGGATGATTTCGGAAGACGATTTCAATGTTTCAATGCCGGATGTTTCAGATTTTGAACCATTCCAGCATGTGCGCGGTGATGCTACGGCTCACAGTACAGTATGTTCTTGTGACGGGAGTGATCAAGGATATTCGGACTTGGCACTGTTATTCATTGAGCAAACCCGTCTCTGTAGGCTCCTAGATGGAAATGAATGCTCGTCTCGGAACTTGCCCTGCACCTGGCAAGGCCTAGATTGGGCCATTGGGGGATCACACAATGCCAACTGGCCATTCCGACGGCTTGAACATCATCTCTCTGAATGGTACAGTGCCTTGCCATCGAAAGCACGATACCGTCCTATAGTTCAAGATGATTTGGGACGAAAGGGAACTGCAGCAGCAGCGGTCAATCGTTCATTTCTACACCTGACGTTCAACATGGCGATGCTCAACGCGTACCAATCACGGCTCGGACTGTTACCAGAGCAGGATATCGGGACATCCTATGAGACGGAAGCTTGTGAGGTGTTGATGAATCATGCTGCAGGGCGTATTTCACACATTATGGGGAACATTGAAGCCAACGGTCTGGAGTTCTGTCTCCATCCCGGAGCGATGCATTTCGCAATATCTGCTTCCGAAGTCCATCTCGAGCGGCTAAACAAACTTGATATAGTGGCTCAGGCTAAGCACAATCAATGTGCGCGCGTCGTTGAACTGATGCAGGAGGCCTACTTTGTTCCAAGTCAGTCGCGGCACTTGCGGCCATCTCCTTCCTCCCCTAGCGCCAGTCATTGCAGCCAAGTTGAGAGAGAAGGATATACAGAGAAAACCGGGAGACTCCCTGAACCTATCTCCTGGGAGTTTGATATCAGCCAGTCGGTAACATCACAAGCTGTATCTACGTGCAACATGGCCGACGTTGAGAGTTTGTCTCCTGAGCTACAAACTACTGAGCGGTGGATGACTGGCCCGCTTGATGCATTTCATAATTTTGAAAACTCGATGTAGACTTCCTTGATAGTTACATAATTGCCGGATGTCCTGTTCCCAGCGCTATAACGGATGTTTTGTGGCCTTCTAGTCATTGTGCTGAGCTCTCTGGGATCCTTAATTGTTGGATTTGACTTTTCACTCAAACTGTCTCACACTTTTTGTGGCATTGAAGAGGGAATTAATTAAGGGATGTTCTAGAAAGTCCTCCACGTGTTGTCGCTCTATGCTTGAATCACTTCACTACCTAGATTATGACTTCTGTGAACGTAGATGATAAGACACGGATGTTTTATGTTGCATGAGTGTTGTATGAGCTCTCCCGCGTCTCTTATGTCATGGTTAAAAAAAAAAGGCCCAAGTAACGCCGACCATGATCAACCGCGCATATGTTCCCCGATGCCTCTTTGAGGCATCGAATGTTCTCCACTGCTAATATTCTAGTTGTCGGGAGTTCTAGTGATTCTTTCCAGTCGCTTCCGAAGCCAAAAACTCTGCATGGTCAAGAAGACTGATGATATTGACATGAGTAACGCCGCAATGGACCTGATTTTCTTTCAGTCAGCATCTAGAGAGCGTATATCACACAATTATCTTTTTGGATCCAGGTCCACTTACGGAGTTAAAGAAATACTGAAAGGGTTGAAGAGTTTCATCGCTAGACCCAATGTGAAGGCATTGTAAGCCAAGATCCAGTAAAGGTTGAACCTCACTTGATCCATGGTCATCTTCGCAATTTTGAAGAGGTCGATGAGGGATCCGAGTCTAGTGTTGACTATAACAACTGCACCGCCGGCAATGGCAGTAGTTGAGTCCTTCTGTAGGCCGACGCCAACACCTGCTGCGGCGAGAGAGGGAGCATCGTTGAGACCATCCCCGACCTGTCTTTTTGTTAATTCCTAGTTTAATATCAACAAAGGCGCTATGGATGAGCCTCACCATCGTTACCATATTGTCAGAGTCCTGGAGGGATTGGATATGTTTTTGCTTTTCGTCAGGTAGTGCCCCAGATTGTATTATGGGAAGTCTCAGTTGTTGCGAGACACGTTCAGCGGACTCTCGAGTGTCTCCTGTGAGCTATGGTAGTAGTTCAAAGTTAGCATGCTAGAAATTCGTATAATCTTTACGTCGACGAATACACGTACCATGCCGCAGTGGTAGCCAGTCTGCATCAACTGTCTCAATACACCCGGTGCGTCTTCCTTGATAGCGTCCTAAACCTTGGTAAGCTTGGCTACACTGGAGTGGGTTGAGTCTCTTGGTTCTTACCGCGACAAAAAATGAGGCAGCATACTTTTTATCGATCGCCACAAGCACAATAATCCTACCGTTTGTGCCGTCTGGGATACTCTCCGGCGTTCCGGTGATGTTCATCTCTTTGAAATATCGATGGCTCCCAACAGCGATGTGGCGCCAAGGCTGGTTTTCTAACTGAACCTCGCCCTTGACTCCTTTTCCCGGGTCGGATACAACATTGCGACTGTTCCGAAGGCCCTGCCTCTCTGCCCACCTGACACCAAGCTCCCGCAGCCCAGCACCGAGAATTGCCCTAGCGATCGGATGGTCATCGATCGCTTGGGTTTCGATGGTGCAGACATATTCCCAGATCATATCCTTGTCCATTTCCCACTTCGGGACAAGGTCAAGATCCTCGACATCGAGCTTCGCATGCGTAAGTGTGCCTGTCTTATCAAAAACTACGGTCTTTGACTTTTCCAACTTTTCGAGTGTGTTTATGCCGCCAGTGATGATAATTCCCTGCCCACATGCAGTGACTAAGAGTGGCGGGTTAGGTTACCAATTTGTATCAAGGTAAAGATATGGTAACTTTCATCACGTACCAATAGCAGCAACTACAGCAGAGGGAATCGCTAGGCTGATGGCGCATGGGCACGCGCAAGTGAGGATTGTGATGGTATGTGTAATCCAATCATGGACGATTTGATACGGAGGGGCCTTGCCGATGAGAGGATATAGACTGTAGCAGGGCGCGAAGAAAGACAAGCCCATCACAGCCGCCACGAAATGTCTCGTAATGGTGTCGATAAACTCATGGTCGTTCGAGGATGTCGAGCTTGACTCTACTGCGCTCTGCACAAGCTTGGTGTAAAAAGAGTAGCTTTTCTCTCTCTGAACAGCGCAAATCAATCGACTGCTGAGGTTCCGCGTCCCTCCTAGAACGAAATCGCCGGTAGACTTCCTTGCAGGAAGAGACTCTCCTGTTACAATAGCCTGCCCGATGAGCGAAGAACCTTCTAAGACGTAGCAGTCGCATGGAATAGTTGTATGAGGTTCCACAACGATTTTATCACCTCTCCTTAGATATGAAGCCGGCACTCTCTGAATGATTAACATCAAGTCAGTCTTTTTTTCTCTTTCATTATCAGGCCAATTGTATATACTTTACTCACCTCCATTCCTGGATACAGTGTAATAGAATCCGCATCGAGGATGGGCTTGTAAACACGAACAAGATCCTGAGCCGCAGATCGCCGGGACAAGCTGTCCACGTACTTGCCAGCCACTACCACAAGGCCGAGTCCGGTCGCCATGGGGTAAAAGGAAGTTGAGTTGAACCGACCCGTAACTACCCAGTCTAGAAGTGGTAGAAGGGAAGCAAGACTCATCGACAAGGATGTCAGGGTATTCATATTCAATCGCCCTCCGCGTAGCCATGTCCAACCACTCTTATGGATCCAGGCAACTGGCTTACATTGGACATAGACCATGACAGCCATGGACATTATATGAAGACACCACTTCAAACTTCGGAAGGGAGAAAATCGGCCTGGTATAAAGTAGAGCAATAACGACAACCCTTGAAGGATCGTAGCACAACGCCCTAGGTGAGAGAACGTGAAACCGAGACGATCTGTGGACTCTCGGTATTGAAGAAGTTCGATCATCTTTTGGGGAGATCTAGGTCCAGCCTGGGCTTCGTAACCAATGTCGCGAACTGTGGAAAGCATCAGCTCCTCGTCGAGCGCCGTGTTCTCTATTGCAATTACAACCGCCTGTTGAAGGGTTAATGAAACCCTGACTTTGCTGACCCCAGGAACTGCTGCCAGAGCATCTTCGACGGCTTGAGTGCAAGAGGAGCAGGTGAGGCCCCCGAGTGAGAGGACAAGTGACGATGGAGAGCTCGGGGCGGTCTCTGTTTTTCCTTTCAACGATTTTGAAGGCAAATCGATCCCCGATTCTTCCTTCTCTTCGTTGTACTTGATGCCGTTGCCGACATCTAGGAAGTGGCAGGCTTTAACCAACTGGCCTATGCAGAATGCAGCAATATAGCAACATGCCATTGTGAGATGGGATCAAGTATCACAGTATTTCGATGCATAACAACTAATCCCAAGTATACAAGTTCTTCTTTCACGTAAGTAGTATCTAGATCCCATGATCAGACACTATGGATCATATCCCGTTGGCAAAGACAGCATGGGAACCTCTGTGCGGGGGTCGTTCCGTGGGGCGGACCGCTGCAAAATCGTGGCCATGAGCATGCCCGACAAACAGAATCTGGAATGTCATCATTCGAAATGAGGCACGGGGGTCTGGAGCTCGAATAGCCGTCCCCACGCCGTCTCCACACAGTGCTTTAGGTGCCATATGAGGCCATGCCCTTCCATGTTAGACTAGTCTGGCCTGCCAACTGCCACGTTTGAGGGGCTTGAGGGGCCCCCGGAGGTGTCTCCTTGCCTTGAGCAGCATCGACATTCAACTGTAGACTAGCTCATGGCAACATGGCAAAGCTGAGGATCCCATTCGAGGGGGCAGTGCTCCCATATTCACCGGAGATTGGTAGTGTGCTCGCAGCCCCACGGGGTACCCCGATTTCGATGCTTCCTTCGTCTTCTTTAGCCTGGCTTCCCCATCCAATGTGTCGTCACACCTTGCCTGGCTTAGCCAAGTGCCTATCCCCAAGCAACACCCACTTCCACTTGATCCGCTCGCCCAGCTATGCCATACCACGCGAGAAGCTTAGGTAAGAGACTGGCTCTCTCTAGCCCAGCTTTGAATTTCAACCAGGACGGCTATCGAGCTCCAACTTCCAACATGAATCAAGTCATACCCCACTTGCTTCCCCGCGACTTCGAACCGAGGACATCGAACACTCCCTAGACACTCTTCGATCACGGCACGAAAAGTCATCAATTTTTGCCTCAGAACTCTTGGTGGGATCATTGATCTCGTCTCGGCAGCATGATGGCCACCAGCCCCCAGGGCGAGGTCCATGTAAGGGCGGCCTCGCCAACCAGCGAATGGACCGAGTCAACCGCGCGCAGAGGTAGCATGTCGGGCGCCATCCGTCGCATACGACAGGCCTGCACACATTGTCGGTAAGTCAGATCATCAGTGTCGCGTACAGCTCAGCGAATGGCCAGGCAAATGCGGGAATCGCGAGCTGGGTCTGGTGGCAGCCAATGGGTATAGGTAGCTAACGACGGGCACACACAGCCATCGCAAGACGAAATGTTCTGGGGAGAAGCCGAGATGCAAGAATTGTCAGCGCGTCGGTCGCAACTGTCACTACGAGCCATACTCGCATACTCAGCCTTCCTCGACCTCTAGTACATCACAGACTACGGCATTCAATTCGGCAAAGTTACCCAGTTCGGAGTTGCATGTGAGCTCATAATCCCATTCAACGGCAGATCGTGTTTGAGCATCCACCAGCTGACAATCATTAGCCTGAGCTACTGAAGAGAATCAATCAAATTGAGAACCAGCTGGCCTTGCTGAGCGACCAAGGATCGGCTAACTTAAGGTTTGTTACGGATCCCTCCCCTGATTTCTGTTGAAAATGAAGAACCGCTTCTAACTCTAACTCTTCGCTCTAGTATGAATTATGTGACCCTCGATCGAATGTCGCAGTCTCCGCCGACCCTCAATCCCGAGAATCCAAGCATAAATGTGGTACCAGGTCCTCGGCGAGCGTCTTCCTCGTCCCCTCGGCGTCGTTTATCGCAGGGCGCGACATATAAACCCGAGCCAAATTCAAACTCCCCCGATGCAGTGTACGTGGTGTTTCGCTTATCTGTAGGACCAAAGGTGCATCTCTGACACGAAACAGGCGCTTCTCAACGCTGCCACCACATTCCGTGGTGCAGTCCCTCGTTGACACATATTTCCAACACGCTTACAACCAACCATATTCGTATTTTCAAGAGGAGAGCTTTCGAGAAAAGCTTGCCTACGGCCTTTTGCCAAAGTGCCTTATCTTTGCCGTCCTGGCTTCGGCACTCAGGTTCTCCGACAATCCATATTTCAAATGGGCCAAGCAGCAAGCCACGGAAGCCTACGCACGCGAAGCCTGGCTCTCTGTCCTCAATGATCATATGACGGCAGAGAACTGTCCCAATGTGCACGTGGCCCAGACCACCAATATACTAGCCATCATCGATTTCACAGGTCAGTTTCCAGCCATTCATAGGATAATTGGGGAGTTTTGACTGACTCGGATGCCGGAGGATAAGCCGGGCGAACCAGTTCAGGATGGCTCAAAATTGGCCTCTCTGTACGGATTGCCCAGGACTTGGAGCTGATGGAAGAACCCTCTAGCACATTTTCCATTGTCGAGCAGGAGGAGCGTAGGAGGACCTTTTGGTCTATATATCTTCTCGACAAGCTCGTGTCTTGTGGCAGGAGCCGGCCGCCAGCCATCGCTGATGAGGACTGCCGGCTGAGCTTGCCTTGTGACGAGGAAGCATTTCGTCAAGGGACCATCCAGAAAACGGCGACCTTGTATCAAGTTTCAAACTGGACTGCCGACTCGGACCGGATTGGCGGCAACTTTGCTCTGACCATACTGGCCGCGTCGGCTTTGGGACGGTGCGCTCGATATGTCTTGCACCAGCGGGACGCTGATGAGCTCGCCCCCTGGGACCAAAGATCCGAGTTCGCATCCATCAACACCTACCTTCTCCTCGTCAGTCATCATTTACGCGTCGAAAGCACATCCGTCGACGATATTGCCCAGGCACACACGAAGCCAGATGGCTCTCTCGACTACCAGGATGCGGCACATGTAGTGTTCGCCTTTGCCGTCTTCCACTTGTGCTACTGTCTATTAAACCACCCCATCCTGCTCCGTCTTCGAGTCCAGAAAATGAGCTACAGAGTTCCCCCCAACTTTTTGCGGCGGTCCCTGCACACAAGCTGTGAACACGCAAGCAATGTCATCGATCTTGTCCACAAAGCAACAGCCGCTGGTTTTCCCATCCGACCTTCTTTTTACGCATATGCGACCACTGTGGCAGGCAGCATCATCATGATGGCCGTCCGATCCGGGGAACAGCCTAGTATACAGATGGCATCTGAACTTCAGGAAAAGAATCAACAGGCTTTGATGATACTCGAGGAGATGGGCCGTGTTTGGGAACATGCTTCTAAAATGGTAATACTTCCGTTTCTTGCACTTTTTCCTTCACGTCACTTCCTTACCCTTTATTTTTGGCCCCCTGACACGGTTGAATTCAAGTTCAGATCAGATGACTTACTTTTATTTAAAACAGCACATCCAGCTTTTATTATTCGATGCAAGTGACGTGGCATCTGCCATTAACTTGGATGCAAATGCAACGGCTGACCTCAACCCTGGGTTGGAAGAAGTGTTATGGCCGATTGTCGACTATGGCCTCATGTGTGGTAGCTTAGCGGGACAAAAATCAAGTGCAAAGCCATTACAGCAGTCTCTATTCGATGACGATGCCAACTGTTTTCCAACCATAGACTTAAACGAGGATATCCAGCCAATCGAAGGTTTTATGGGTCCTGGTACTGGAACAGATCACCTCATGGGATCTGAGTTCTCTATGTCTAACTTGGAATACATAATATGACAATAATTAGCTGTTTTGCAATGAATCTTTTTCTACATTGTTCGGTGTTGTTAACACCAAATATTGCGCCATATGATGGCTATACGTAGTATCCAATTTGTATGTTCACTATGCTTCTTAACCAATACTCCAATATGAGATTTTCTAAGACCCGAGGTATCCTTTGACGGCTTATATAGTCTATTTAATGAACGCAGAGTATAGCAGCATCTTAGGTAGTCAGCTAGGAGTTATACAAGACTCCTCCCACCACTAATGTGCGGACCGTTCGGAACCACTAAGGCAGACTGTAGGGCCTGCTAGGCCTACTTCGATTGGTCTCTTCAACTGCCGTGTACGCCGTGCCCTCTTTTCGACTACCTTCAAGTCTGCTCGCAGCCATTGTCATCAACTGCCGCTTCGGACCGGTCAGGGGGTATGGCCACACACCTCCACCCCTGGATCTCTTACCCCAAAATCTGGGGTAATGACAAGGCCCGCAAATGCCAGATCTGGTTCTTGGTTAAACTGGAACTAAAGATCTTCAAGTTGATAATAATGAATATCTATGCCATGTGGATATCTTCTTTTCGACGTAGGCGGTCCGCCTGGCATTAGTAGTCCGTGTATTGCCGGGTTCCGTGCACAAATACAATAGGTTCACGTTATGATTTATTTTTATATCTTCGATATCTAACGATATCAGCCTTGGCTCTTTCATATCGACTCAAAGTAAAAACCATCTGGCCTATCAATTTGTCTATCATTTGTTTCATCATGTCTGCCACACACAATGAATTCGTCACCAATGGCGTGAGCCCCAACGATCTTGAGTCTGGGAAAACCGAAGGACTCAGGGAGCTTCGCTCTGCACAGAGCATAACCATGACCCCTGAGCTTTTCGAAAAGCTCTATCTCTCTCCGCCCAACAAGGTCGAGGGGAACCTTAGACGCACGTTTGGTAATCCGACTCCAATGTATGGCAAGATCCATCCCTATTCTCGGCATGCCTCCCAACACTGATGACACCTAGGGCTCTCGTCGGGTTTCTCCTATCCCTTATGCCACTCGCATGCGATCTGATGGGATGGAGGGGGGCTGGCGACTTTGGTGTTGCTCAAATGTATGGCAACGCCAGGCACGCGTGCGATAATGTACCTTTAAGCTGATGATTTCTAGTTCCGTCTACTTTTTCATGGGCGGCCTCTTGATGTTTCTCAGCGGGATCTTTGAATGGGTCCTTGGAAACAGCTTCCCAGCAACTGTATTCTGCAGCTTTGGTGGCTTCTGGTTCTCATTTGGAGGGATACTTAACCCCAGTTTCGGTGCCTACAGTTTCTACGCCACCGATCCGCAGAAACCAACTACAGGACTGGCCAATGCAAAGTTCAACGCAAGTCTAGGTAGGTTACCAAAGTCCAGTTCCTATAAGGAACTTTATCCGTCAACTAACCGATGACTTGTACTTTGCTTCGCTAGGTTTCTGGCTAGTAGTCATGGGGATCCTGGCCTTTGTCTACCTGATTTGCGCGCTAAGAACGAACATTGTCTTTGTTACCATATTCCTCAGTCTACTGCCTGCCTTTAGCATGCTTACGGCTGCATTCTGGCTCCAAGCAGAGGATTTTGAGGGGAACGCGGCAAAGGCAAACCGAATGTTTGTGGTGAGTTGTCTCTGATACAATCAGTCTCGTTCATTGTTCCATATTCTCAGTATCTGACACTAATGGCATATCAAGGGAGCCGGGGCATCTCTTATTGTCACGTGTGCTGCTGGATGGTACATGTTAGTGGCTATTCTGTTTGAAATTGTGGACTTTCCTATCCAGCTACCGGTGGGAGACCTGTCCTCCGTGTTCAAGGGGCGAAGGTCCATGCACTAAGACTTGACCCATTCTCTTCAAGTGACGCGTGAAGATATCGCAGGGCATTGGGGACTACAAAATTGATTCAGCCGAGGGAGAGTGGTTTATATTTGGCATGCTGGAAACAGCGAGGAAGGTTTTCAAAATGATACATGTTGGCTTCTTATTAGCTGAGAAATATCATTTTTGCAAGCATCAGCATTTCCGAGTATAATCGCTTGACTTCCTTCTTTGCAGTCGGCATCCATTATGGCCTTCGTATATTCTTGGTGATGTAAGAAACTTAAAGTCCATAGTCTTCGTATCAAAAGGGTCTAAGATTTTAAGATTATGATCTCGCATATCGACAATGATATCCGTCCTCGACAAACAGCCAGGTAACACTTTGTCAACTTTGTACCTATGTTAAAACACGGTGTTGAAAATCACCGATGCCTTCACATTCAAACTTTCGTCAACTGCCAGTGCAATAGAGATTCCCCGAATTCTCCCTCAGAGTGTCTTCTACAACTCTGAGTGTGGGCAATAGTGGTTTGGAATGCTTCGGGAATACATATGCGTTCGGACCGTCACCAAGCCGTCCCACAGCCCCGACAAGCCGAGGGGAACCTGCAATGAGGGGAGCTCCGCACACCAATCAAGATCCATACTATTTCGCTTGATGGGGGGCTGACGATTGTCTAGCATGTCATTTACCCCGCCACCAGTCAAGTTAGCATTGGGAAACGGTGAATATTGGTGCCTTTTCACACAGCGCTCGGATTCGGACCGTCGCCTTCATCCGATCCTGGGTGGTTTCAACCCTTCTTAAATCTTGTCCAGCGCCATGTGCACAGTCTTGAGGTAACAGGAAAGCAGTCCTCAAGCTTCCAACACCGTCTGTTTCGTACGCGATATTTTCTATCGTCATTAATTGATTCGCCTGAAGAATTATCATGGCTCCATCAGCTACCCCGAGTCTGACGCACCAGACAAAGCGACCGACCCCTAACCTGGATTTTGAAGGTTCATTTGTTCACATCATTGGAGGCAAACCAAGTCCTACAAAGCAAAGTAGACATGGCGTCAATCCTGCCAACCTGGAGCCCAAAGCCGATGTTCCGCTCGCGACAGAGGAAGACTTGGACCGTGCCGTATCTTCTGCCAAGGAGGCATTCAAAAGCTGGTCCCAGGTACCTTATGAGGAACGTCGCAGTGCCGTTCTGGCATTCGCCGACGCTATTGACCAATTGAGGACTCAATTTAGAGATCTCCTCGTCGCAGAGCAGGGAAAGCCAGTAAGCAGATTCCCTCCTCTCATGACACGGGTTACATTTTCATCTAACCATTTTGAAGCTTCCGCAAGCAGATTACGAGACTGACTCAGCCATTGAATGGATTCGTGGGATGGCAAATATCAGTCTTCCAGAAGATGTCATCGAGGACAACGAGAGGCATACAGTCACCACCCGATATCTCCCGCTCGGTGTTGTCGCCGCCATTGTTCCATGGAACTTTCCCCTGCTGCTCGCCACGGGCAAGATCGCCCCGGCCTTGTTGACGGGCAACGTCATCATTGTGAAGCCATCGTAAGATCTTCTCTTTTCTTTTTCTTCTCTACCAAACGGATGGCTACTAACATGGCCCTAACCACAGTCCATTTACCCCATACGGTGGGCTCAAGCTTGTGGAGCTCGCCCAGCAGTTCTTCCCTCCTGGCGTTGTGCAGTCCCTGAGCGGAGATGATAAACTTGGTCCATGGATTACCAGCCATCCTGGTATTGACAAGATTAGCTTTACCGGCTCTACGACAACTGGCAAGCTTGTCCTTCAAAGTGCCAGTAAGACGCTCAAGCGCGTGGTTCTGGAACTGTGAGTTCTAACCATCGAGCACTTTTAAACTACCACGACTGACAGATGACTCAGCGGAGGGAACGATCCTGCCATCATTCTTCCTGATATCAACGTCGACAAAGTTGCCCAACAGGTAAGATCTCGGCGTGTGATAGTTTAACTACCTAGACAACTAACTGTTCTCAAGGTTGCTTTTTATGCATTCTTAAACTCTGGTCAGGTAATATTCTTCTTGATTTATAAGATATGGACATTGGCTCAATTATTTGTTCGCAGATTTGCCTCAACTTGAAGAGAATTTACGTGCACGAGTCTATATATGAGGAGTTCCGGGATGCGGTCGTTCGGCACGTCAAAGATTATGTCGTTGGCGATGGTTCCAAGGAAGGTGTCACTCACGGGCCACTACAGAACTCGATGCAGTACGAACGTGTCAAGACTTTCTTTGATGATATCGAGAAGCAAGGATGGAAGGTGGCCACTGGCGGAAAGATTGAGCCATCCCAAGGATATTTTGTCACGCCCACCATCATTGATAGGCCCGACGAAGATTCAAGGATTGTTGTTGAGGAGCCTTTTGGTATGTGATTACTTGACAATGCTTGTACGGGTTGTCCAACTACTTACAGTTTTACAGGTCCTATCGTGCCTCTCTTGAGCTGGAAGACGGAGGAAGAAGTCATTGCACGTGCAAACAACACTTCAATGGGACTGGGAGCCTCGGTGTGGAGCAACGACATCAAGAAAGCGACAAGAATTGGCAAGTCCATCCAAGCTGGCAACATCTGGATCAACACCCACTTTGATCTTTCTCCCATGGCTCCATTTGGCGGACACAAGGAGAGTGGCATCGGTACTGAGTGGGGAGCCAATGGCCTCAAGGCCTTTTGTAATGTACAGACCCTGTTCTGTAACAAGCAAATCGTCAGCTAGTTGAATAGATGGTCCTTTATTTAGCATTTCTTAGTATTTCCAATAAGGAGATGTGCCATTACTACAACGACCAAGGATTGTGCTGCCGGAGAAGAAGTGCAGGCCATTACAACGAGTCAACGACCATGACTCGAACCAAGCGGACCTCAGCTCCATCGAGACTAAATTCATTTCCACATGGTCATTCACCAACGGCCTCTAGTGACATACAACTCCCCAGTCAGAGGTATTGAAGCTAGAAAAGGAATAGATTGGCCTCTTGGCCCCGTCACTCGCTGCAAGTCTTAACTATATTCCTCATGCCAGTGGAGAAAAGTAATTTCCCCGCACGGAGCAACGACGCTAATGCATGTTCGGTCCGCGAGGCGGACCGAACTGTGTGAAATAAGAAGTTCTCACACGGTCCTCTCATCACTCGTCCTGTTAGGTTACCCTATACACTCGGATAACAGCTACCTACATATGAAAAAATCAGTGATGCTATGCACAGGCCTAGTAAAGAACTTCACATGATAACGAACTTGGAATATCCGTGTATTTATTCGCTTCGTATTATGTTTATCCCTATCAATCGCCTCAATCAGACTCTATCATGTTGTTTAAGCGTTCCGTTTTTAATTTCAATATTTGGACGAAGACCCAGGTGTGGATGGCTGTTGAGGAACTTTAGGAAACTTCTTTTACTATATACTCATGTCCTATGTTACCAAAAGAGTTCAATTCTTCATTCTGTTTCTTGATACCTCAGTCAAATGTAATTCAACCAGCTCCGATTATGTGTGCCAACATTCAATAGTACTTCCGTCGGCATTTTACCACAAAAGCACGGGCTTGATGGTAGATCCGTCCTCCATATCCCGAATAGCCTGTTGATAGTCTTCAACCTTTTACGTAAAAAATCATTAATATCTGCCAGATAAAAGGACAATAGATCGCCTTACCTTGTAAAACTTGACAAGTCTGTCAACAGGGAAACGCCCAGACTGATACCACCGAATCATTTGGGGTATATACTGATGATTGACTTAGCCATACCAATCAAGACTCCGAGGACTAGGATTTGTCTTACCTCTTCAGGATAAACGCCACCCTCCATACTACCCAGTAGCTTTTTGCCAGTCTATGTTGCCATCCTCGTTAGCTTGTCACGCGAGTAAGAAGAGGTTAGCCTATAAATGAGACATACCACCATGAAAGGGACGACCTGAACCTGTAGACCCGCGTCCATTGGAGCCACCCCAAGTAAGACTACTTGGCCCTGATTGGCGGTGAACTCTACGCTTTGCTGGATCAAGGGTACCACCCCAGTAGCATCGATAGTGATGGTGGTGCCGACGTCTTTAGTGAGCTTTCGCACCTCCTCTGTCAATGAGCCGGGCATCTTGGCGGTGTTTATCCCGTGGGTAGCACCCAAGCTCTTTGCGAGTTCGATACGTTCTGGTACACGATCTATTCCAATAATGGTCCTGCATCCTTGGAGTTTTGCAGCCTATTGTGGTTCACTTATCAATCATGCCCACAAAGAAATAGCTGGGCATCGTTGTACTGACCATGATGGCAGATAGCCCTACTCCGCCGAGTCCAATGACTGCAATTGTGTCATCTGCTGTAGCTTTCGCCAGCTGCGTTACTGTACCAGCCCCAGTCTGCAAGACGGAGAATGTTAATCAATCATTCTTCGAACAGGAAACAGCCTCGCAAAAACAACTCACTTGGATCCCGCAACCCAGAGGTGCAAACAATTTGAACTCTTCATCATTTGTAACCAGGCTGTTAACCTTGACCATAGAAACCTCTTGGACTTTGGTCAGTCGTGAGAAGCTTGATTGACCAAAGAATGAGCCACCAATCGGCTTGCCCTCTTTGATTGTTGTAAAGGCTTCCTTGTTGCCCGTAAAGTTGATGGGGGAAAACTGGGAACAATATCCTGGTGCGCCGAACTGGCAATTGTGGCATTGGGTACAGAATGCAAAGGACAAGAGGACTTTATCGCCAGGCTGGACTTTGCTGACGCGGGAGCCAACTTCTCTCACGATACCAGCACCTGCTTTACGTTAAATATAGAGCATGAGGACAGGACTCTTGGAGACGTACCTTCATGGCCTAGCACCCTGGGGTAAGGTGGAACTGGAAACCCTGGAGTTCCGTCCGGTGCAGTCCCACAACCAAGATCGGTATGGCAGATTCCCGATGCTACAATCTCCACGACAGCCTCATATTCAGCAGGTTTCCCAATCTTGATTTCCTCGAGACGCCATTGCCGTTCTCCATCGACTGGAGGATGAGAGACAATGGCTTCTGTGAAAGACTGTGGAATGCTTGTGTTGTGTGGCATTTTGCTTGATATCGATAATAGAAACGGTAGATAATGGCTGTACAGAAACTGATGGCAGAGACGGGCCGCTGATAAACCTCCAGCCACGAACTGGCAGCACTGACATCTAAAACGATTTCATGGCAATAGTAGAGCTAGCTCACTAGACTCCGGACCGGCGTTGTCGTTAGTCTGTTGATGACGGACCTAACCTCCCCGCACCGCACCGCCCTCCATGGAAATGTACATCCTTCAAGGACGCGTAAGGGTGTGGAAACAAGCAAAGCACCTCGACTAGACAGGTTTGTAAAGTGGATTTCCCCGGACTACTCCACACACTGATGTAACCTCATGTTCCGTTGGAATCTCCCCGCATTGAGTTCCGAGCTGTGTGGTTTCTGAGAGGCGGGTGGCAACAGACCCTGGGGAATATCGCCAGCTATCCGCCGCGGACCGCACAAACTTTCATGCCAACATTAGATGATTATAAAGTTACAAATAAACTTTGTGAACATTAGACGACTCTTACACCTCACAGCTTTCAATACAGTTCCAAGTATTCGAATCATCGCTGCTCCCTGAATCGCAATCACCATGTCGCTTACTGTGAGTGCCCAACTCCAAAATCCTATGGCCACTGACCTTTTAGAATCGGACACTAATGGATTGAATTCAAACACAGCTCACTAAGACCATCCAAGTGTCTAATGGCACACACGATGATGATGATTCGCTTGCCCTTACCAAGGTCAAGAACCGTGGATCGAACATAAACGGCGCGACGACCTTGGAGACTAGCAAGTACAGCAATGAGACCGTGGGTGACTTTGGCTGGGGACCATGGACTATCAAAGGTATGTTGCATTAATCAATGGATTCGATGAGGCAAATTGAATCGATAGAACGCTGACCATGATCAAGATGTTCTCATTCCTCCCAATGCCGGTCGTGGCCTTATCAAGAAATATCATCAACGCCGTACATTGTATCAGTACATAGCGCTTTCCGTTGGAGGCCTGTGGACGTTTCATAATGTGCAAAACACCGCCTATAGGGCAGCCGCTCTAGGACTGCTGTTTCCTGGTGCTGGGTTTACTGCTGTCGCCACGATTCCATCTGTGCTCACCTTCTTGGTCACCCTGGTGCTCATTCCGGTGTCCATCTTTGTTTGGTTTGCCATGGGAGGCATCTTCTTCCCTCTTGCTCTTTGGTTCGGCAGCAGTATCGCGGCAGGCTTCATGGCTGGTGACAAACTTTTCGACCAATCCGCCGTGATTTGGGCAGTCTTCTGCTACGGCGGCATCATGTGGCTTATGAGCAATGCTCGCTCACTCAATGCAGCTGGGTACTCGAAGGCCCAAGAGCGCAACAAGTACCTTGTGAAAGCCGTGGAGGAACAGATCGAGAACGGCACCCCTGCCCCCCCTCCCGGCTCCCGAGAGCTGTCCTTGGATACTTTACGCCACGTGCAGCATGTCATTGAGCGTGGTCTGAGTGCTCGCGACGATTTCAGCTACCACGACGTTATTGACCAGTTTCAGACGGGTGCTGTTCGCTATCAACTCTACGGCGTTGTTGACGTTTTGAGCCTGTACCAGTGCCACTACACTCCTGGATTCCACGGTTATCTGTCCAAGGCTTCGCAGAATGCCATTGAGAAGAGTTTGCAAAAGACCATCATGTCGTAAGTCCTTCCACACTATATGTTATGACAATAGATCCTTCGTTAACACTTCTTCGTGCAGATACTGGAAATGGGAGTCTATCTTTGGAAAGTTCACCCTGAGTGATTTCGACCCCATCAAGAAGGATAATATCGTGAGTTACATCTGCATGCGCACGCTATCTTTCTTACCATACTGATATTGACTTTTAAAGATGGTTACTGGATATCTCAGCTCTGCCATAGGTCTCTACGCTCAGGCATCAGGCGACAGACGGTACAACGACAAGAATGCGCTGGAATTCGTCGTTGACGACGGAAAGCATTACAAAACGAACTACGAGGGTCTTGCGGATGCCCTTAACGAGAACATGACGGAAAACCCATACTGCCTCTACCCCTGTGAGCCAAACTGGACCTATTCTCTGTGCAAGTATGTTTCTTCATTCCTGATGATTTAGATCGTGAAGATGATGTAAGTCTAATGACAAATCGAATAGCCTTACTGGAATGGCCGGTCTTGTTATTTCCGATCGGATTCTTGGCCGCGACCTTGGCCATAAGCTGAGGAACCGGTTTGAGAAGTCTCTCGAAGAGGAGTTTACAGAATGCGATGGAAGAATCCTCCCTATCCGCAGCGAATTCACTGGTCTCACGGTAAGCTGCAACCCCCCCCATACGTGATGAAATTCCCCGACTAATTCTTTTGGTGTCTATCAGCTCCCCGGTCTCTGTGGTACACTGACCGATTGTATCAACGCTATGCTCCTCACCGCGTATCTGCCTCATCTTGCGCACCGTAATTGGGCAATCATCCGCAAGGAGTTCATCAAATACGACAAGAACGGCCAACTCCAGGTCCTCAATCTCAAGGGTGCGGACAAGATGGACCCTGGAAGTTATCGTGCGGGCGAGGGCCCCCTCCGAGCCTTCATTGCTGGTGCTGCTGCCGAGTTTGGTGACGAAAAGATCCGGAAGGAAGCACTGGACCAGCTTGACCATGTCTACTTCCCTGTCGAGACTACCAAGACAGGCGCTCAGTACAACAAGGGCTTGTCTGCGACGTCGCAGCACATTGCTCTGATGGCCCGCTTAGTCCGGAACCGAGACTTGGCCAATTCCACCCTCCATGGGCCAAGCAAGGAGGCCCTTGAAGGACCTCTGCTGGAAGAAGCACCATTCCCAGACGTTCTTGTTGCCAAGGCGTACAGCCACGACGGAAATAATCTTGACCTTGTCCTCTACAACGGAAATGAGCCCGGTGTTTTTGAACTTGGCTTTGACAGGCTGCTCCCCCACCGCAAGTACAATCTCAGTACTGGCGATTTTATCACTGCGGACAAGGCTGGAAGGGCAACTTACAAGGCAAAGATCAATGGACGTACCCAAATCATTCTTGCTCCGGTTGTTTAAGAAGGGAATTGAAAGTTATGACGAAAACATGAAGTGGGATCAGTACGAATGAAGGACAAGTTTAGCTGGTGTATCTTATGACGACTTACTCATTGAAGTTCTATTGATGAAAGAAAGGTCAATCACATAACACAGAGACTGGATAAGCAGAGACTTTCATTAAAATCTTTCTGAAATAAAAATTGATTAACAATTCATTGTATTCAAAACATTGCAGTCTATTGAGATAGAACCTCTGTGACATTGGTGTACCAATTCGTATCTCGTAGCCGAGCTCGGCGTGTTGCTTTAATAATCATTACTGTCCACACGATAAAATGAATGGATTCTCTAACAATGCCATTCGTATTATAGTATAGACCTTTTATGATTGTAAATGAAAGCTTAAGGTGATTATTATTCGACCAAGACTCTATAAATATAAAGTTTGAGCAGGCTACTATACTATCAAGCACATTACTGAGATGCACAAGATATCTCAAGTATGTGTTTCGTGTACTTTTCTACAAGGCCTTTGATTCATGGTAGATACAAGCAGCAATTCCGGGAGCATCAGAGGATTAGAAAAGCGTTGTTATAACTCCTCGATATTACTAGACCTTCATTGGCCTATCAAATGACTTATTTCTAAAGCATATATGTGTTATAAATAGTCTCCCTATCATCTTATTTATGCTTCTAAGCTATCTATTAACCCTTCAAAGCTTCCATACTCTCGCCAAGGTTGATTTTTTCAAAAGTTCGTTCCCCTTGGCACGGATCAAGTGTTTCTGATATTTGCCACTTCCTGTCTTAGGCAAATCTGAACCCACCTCTTGTTCACCGAGCCAGAAAATATGCTTGGGCTCCTTGATTCGTCCTAGCCGTTTCCCTACCCAGGCACGAACAGCTGCGTCAGGAAGGCTTGGTGCGTTGTCGTGGGCCTTCCTCAAAAAACACCCTACAACTTCACCGTACTTTTTGTCCGCAAGCCCAACAACACAACATTCCCGAATATCAGGATGCTCAAGTAGACAGTCTTCAATCTCCTCCGGAGAAATGTTTTCGCCACCTTGGATAAGATTAGAAACCTGATTATAATCTGGAAGAGGAACTGGGTTGGAAGTTTGGAAGTGGAAGAGTCTCCCAGTTGGCAGAAAACTTACCACGAATGATAGTGTCTTTGATCCTGCCGGTGATGTGACCGTATCCATCTGCATCTATGAAGCCCTCGTCGCCCGTGTACATCCACCGAACGCCGTGGTCGTCATACTTCATCACTTCTCGCGTCTTCTCCTCATTCTTCCAGTAGCCCTTCTGCAAGGCAAAACCGCTCGTGCAGATTTCGCCCTTGGTGCCTATGGGGACAATCTTCCCCTCATGGTCAACGATCTTGGCGCCGGTGTGAGGAAATAGCTTCCCAATGCTGTGGAACATCCTGTCCTCTGTGTCGTTGAGCAAGGTAATGAATGTCACAGGGCTCGTTTCCGTCATGCCATAGGCAATAAGCATTCCCTTCACCTGCATCTTCTCTCGGAGCTGGGCCATCAATGATGGAGCCACATGTGAGCCGGCAGCCAAGCCTGTCCTAACAGTGGTGACTCGGTGTCTTGATTGTTCCAAGGCTTCTAGTTCGGCGATGAACATGGTAGGGACTCCAAGTAAAGCAGTGGCCTTTTCTTTCACCAAGGCGTCGAGAGTTTTAAGAGCGTTGAAACTATCAGATGGGAAGACTAAGACGCTGCCGTGGCAGAATGATGACAAGAAGCCCATGACCAGGCCAAAGCAGTGGAAGAGAGGCGGAGGACAGCACACGACGTCGTCTGGCGTCAAAAGCATGGAATGGCCCGTAAATCTGGCATTATTGATCAAGTTCCTTGGGAAAACGGCATATCAGTTACGCCAGTTCTTCTCAAGGCAGGGGAAATGGTATGTCAAACTAACAGATGTGTGAGGGAAGCAGCTTTTGGCAGACCAGTCGTGCCTGAAAACACGACCCTATTAGAAGAGCATTCTATGACACTGAAAGCAGACCGATAATACTGCTTTTCAAATCTAAACCTGGACATTGGAACGTACCTGATGTAAATTGAAGATTCAGAATGTCGGATGGATGAACATCCTGCTGCGCCTTGGTCAAAGCCGTGTTGTCAACATCTTGTGCCAATTCTTTCAGGAATGGCTCATATGAACTGATCCGAATACCATTCTCATTACTTGAGAATTCGGATTTTCCTATGATTGTGATGCGTTGAAGAACCGTCTCCGACTGTGTTTGGAGTAATTTCTCGACATATTTTCTCATCGGCCTGCCGCCGATGCTGTGGGCGATGAATAGCAATTTGCAATCTAAATGAGTGATTAAGAGTCAATCTATTTGCCTGAGTACATTAGTGGGGTCCAATAAAGCCTACCGCTCTGACGAACTGCGGCATGTAATTCCTGGGGAGAGTATGTGTTGTTGAAAGTGACAACAGGGCAGCCAATGCGAGCCCCTCCGAGAAAGATCTCAAGGTACTGATATGAGTTACCAGAAAGAACGCCTATGCAGTCCCCCTTCTGCAATCCTGCTCCGAGAATCGCTCTCGCTACAAGCTTACTTCGGCTGGAGAGATCTCGATAAGTAAGACGAGCCGACTGCCACGAGCTGACCACGGCAATTCGGTCAGGATACTTTGCCGCCTGAGCATCGGCGAGATTGCCAACGGTTATTTCCCATAATTCTGGTTGCGAAGGGCCCTGCAAGATGGATAAGCGTTCATTGTGAGGTGCTCGCTGCAAGCTGGATTCAGAGACAGGGCTCATGATGGAGGCGTGGCAGTCGTAGCTCTTGACAAAGCTGGCAAGGGAAAATGACACTGACAGAAGCTCCAGACGTATCCCGACTCGTCGATTTCATTATAAGCCAGCCATTGTCATTCGCCCGGGATGTGTGGTTTTGTTACCCGAAGCGGTTTGGAGGAGTTGCGGACATCGGACCGCTGCGGAGACTCGCCTGCACAAGGGGTTCCGGACCAAGACCGACAGCTTCCCATTCGTCTTGAGGAAAACTGAGATCACTAGGTCCTCGGTTCCTTGTATTAAACCCCTCTAGGTATAGGTGCTTAGTCTCAGGGGCTATGCTTGTGTGAAGGGTGGCATTCTTGCGCCCTGCCGCTCTCCAACCCGCGGCTTGACCAGGTGATCGACCATTCCGGAGACGGTCCGAAGCCTGTTCAGCACGGCATTTGTAACTCCAGGGCCGGCCTTTGCCATCACTCACGATTTTCTGTCGCTCATTCGATTTATGGGTGGTAAACAACAATGCATTCAAGGTCCAAGACCCGAGCACGCCCTTTAGTACTGTAATGCTAGATTCGCAGCTACTCAAAAATGTATATTTTTTTATTGTATACATTGCATCTCTATTTGCGTTCTTTAATACGAAGTCTATAACATTGCACCCAAACTCAAGGAGTATTACAACAAGGAAAGCAAAGTGTCGATCAGAACATGGTACTCAGGCGCAAGCCGGGCTCGCACGACCGTAATTTGGATCTCAGCAATCCCGTGCGTGAACCAGGCGTATTGCCCGATCCGGTGTATTACGATACACCAACAGGCGTACATGACGAGGAAGAATGCCTCTCCGTCGCGGATAGCCTGCTTTGCATGTTCATCCAGACACCGGACCCAGCAGGCAGCGGAATCATAGAGATTTGCCAAGTCGTCTGAAGCGTAGCTTCGATTTATCGAGTACAGGAGAGCACGTAGTGTGAACTGTCCTTGTTGTATCTGTACCAGTATCTTGGGACAATATCGGCTTAGCCTTGCAACCTCATCAGGCAGAGAAGAGAGAAAACGAGACTTTGATGGCGGGATGTGCTTCGGTAGGTAGATATTGTCGCCCTTGTTGTTCTTGAGCAGATCATTTGCTTCTTCAACGATCGCCTGAGTCTCGCGAACATACTGCATAAAGTACGAACCTCTTGGTAAAAGATGCGCAAGGGCGTGTGGGAGAGTTAGAATCCCGGAGAGGAAAAAGGCTACATATTCCAGCTCGTTGGAATCTTCGGGGTCCGAGAAGAGTCTCGAGTTTTGCTCTACAGTCAGGCAATTGGCACAAGCTAGAATTGCTGTGGTATTGTCGGAATTGGGTTCGAGCAGATGTTTCGCGTACTCTGTCGCACCTAGAGACGAGTAACGTGCTGCGGCAAATCGATGTTCATGGCCTGTCTTTGGGTTTTTGATAGAGATATGATATGCGGATAGGCCGAGAACCGCATGGAGAAGGAACGGATATTCGAAGGCGAGCTGTGGCACGTCGTCTTGCCATAGTTTCAAAGGTTGGCACCTTCTGACGAGAGTTGGCGCTGTATGCAAGGTGAAGTGGTGTAGATACATCATTGCTCTGGCGTCAATATAGTTGAGCTGAATTCCCTGAGGAATCGATTGACGAGAGCTTCTGACCGCTTCCAACTCTCGGTCACCGATGCTTTCCGTACGTGTGGTTGTATCTACAGACAGGGTTGGTCCTGGATCCGTACTGACCTCAAAGTAACGTAACTTAATCCCACGGAAGAAAGTCTGTAGAGCTACGGAACTGGCTCGAACGTTGCTCTTGGTATGGACACTGTGCTTTGATGCCCAGTGCATCTGCATACCCTTGTCCGTTGCACACAGATATCGACAGCCATCGGCGTCACAACGAAGTCCTTCATGCGTGGGAAGCTCGGGAAGTTGCCAAGCCCGATTCGGGACAGGGACATCGTCCGGCTGTCTGAGATCAAGCTTGTTGAGACGTTCGACCAACGCTCGCCGCCGATGCCGGTAGATCCGGTGCCTCAGGAGGTGGCTGTCCAGGGCGTTGGGCTGGATGGCATGTCGGCACTGCCGGCAGATAACGACGCCGAAGTCTGCTAGGTATACCAGAAAGTCATTAATGTGGACACGCACAAGATCCTTCATTGCCGAATCGTGAGATGGGGAGTGGTGGTAGGTTGATAAATTCGCCGATGGAGGGTTGCGGACGGAACCAGATTTGTGGTTATCTGGCGACAACCCACTGCAAGAGTCCGAATTGGACCCCTGTCACGCCGATCTCTGGAATTCAATATTGGAATTCCATGCCAACTATCATAGTCACTACCGATGCAATGCAGAAACCTTGCACCGGTGAAACGGGGCTTTGAAAGTCACCGTATTGCAGCTATTCTGCGGGACGCCGAGTGCATCAATCTCGCGACGATGCAAATTGGACATCTTGAGAGGTTGAACTATAAGTAGGTATAGCCGCCCTGCCACACAGCGAGTCAGGAACAAATCCAACCTCATCCGATACACAAAAGTCTCTGTTCAACAACTACAAACACACAGTTTTCAACTAAAACTTGAACTAATCAAGTCCCGAATCCCAAATTTCAGCCATGGGTTTACACGACGCAGGTGTTACTGTCGAACGCAACGGCGTCGAGAGATATGCTCCGACCCGTATCAACGTTGTCATCTGTGGTGCTGGTGTTGGCGGACTGCTCGCAGCGCTTGAGTGCTACCGCAAGGGCCACAGTGTGACCGTTCTCGAGCGTGAGCCAAAAATGTCCATCGTCGGTGATGTTGTTGGGCTGAACCCAGCGGCGCTTTCAACCATACAGAAGTACCCCTACCTCAAGGAGAACATGCCCCTCAAGTTCCACGACTGTCCCATCTCGTACCACTCGTATCACGGCGAGTTCATCAACTCTGCCATGCCTGAATGGAGGGGTTCCGACGTTGAGGCTAACAGTGGACTCGGCAAGGTCGGACAGATCATCACTCGACCCAACCATGCTGAAGTGATGCTCGCTCAAATCAGACAGCTCGGGATTCCCATTGTCTGGGGCAAGAAGGTGGTCAAATATGGGGAGGCCCCCAAGGACGGCCCAGCATTCGCTGAGACGGAGGATGGCGAACGCTTTGAGGCAGACGTCGTTATTGCTGCAGATGGCGTTCACTCGGCTTCGAGGGAGATTGTCAAAGGGAATGTTCCACCAGTTCAACGTACTGGATACTATGCTGCTCGTACCGGCTTTCCTCGCTCAGATCTCCCTGATTTGGGTCCCGAATGTCAGCACCTGTTTCCTAAAGATGGTGAGGCAGATATCAACCGCGTCTATATCGGGAAGAGTTCACATCACGTTGTTTCTACTTCGAAGGACTACGTTGCCTGGGTTATTAACAGCAAGGCAAGTATTCGGTCTTGATCGTATTTGGTTTATGGTTTCAGTTTGGAACTAACGAAGCGCTTTAGAAAGAGGATCCCTCGGAGGGAACTTCAGCTAATCTAACGCCCGAGGATGTTATTGCAGTAATGGGTGACGGCTGGGATCCCGCCGTCCTTAAGCTCATCAGGCATTCCCCTGGATCAATCGTCAACTGGAGCCTCAATTTTCGCAACCCGCACCGCTATTGGACATCACCTGGCGGTCGCGTGGTCCAACTTGGCGACGCTGCTCATACGTTCCTCCCGACCTCCGGTAACGGAGCCGTCCAGGCTATGGAGGATGCCATCTCTATTGCCGAATGCCTTCGGCAAGGCGGCAAGGAGAATGTTGGCTGGTCAACACAGGTGCACAATGTGCTTAGGTAGGTGCCCAATCCCAGCGATCCATCAGCGACAAGCTCTCACACTTGCTCATCATAGATACCAACGTGTCACCACTATTCAACGGACTGCATTTGTCAACCAGGACGATCTAGATGGCGTCGACGTCAACGAAGCGCTCAGGCGTGGCCCCGACTTCAAGGTCCGCTGGGGTCGTTGGATGTGGTCGCATCTGCCGGAACAATACGCGGCGGATCACTATTGGGATGCTCTGACGGCGATCCAGGCTGGAAAGACGTTTGAGAACACCAACTTGCCTCCCGGTCATGTGTTTGAGGATTTCACCATGGAGCAGGAGTTGAAGCGCCAGAAACTCAAGATTCCCTCCGGACTGAAGAAAAATGGTGACTGGACGATTGAGTAATTTGGTATACCATATCAATTAAATTGTGAGACGTCTGTCAGTGCCAGGATTCAAAGCTTGCGAACCCTTTTAAATCCTTCCATGCACAGAGTACCATACTCGACTAGTTATCCAGGGCTAGACACTTTGTAACTTCTCCTTTTCTATCTCAACATTGATGACCGCATCCCTATCGAAGTGTCTTTACATTGAATAGAAGGGGTCTGTCTTTTCCCTGAGTCTTACAACTCATCCACAAAATGCGCCTGTCCAGTCTTCCACTGCTCCACCAGGAGTAACCGCAGGGACTCGGTCGCTCACATCATGCACCTTTGCCCAAACGCGGATTTCAAGAACTGAACCATTGCCATTTTAGACAGAGAAGTACACAATATGAAGCGGCAAAGGTCCTAAACAGCGGGCGTTCCGGTGCAGGTATGGCAATAAACAGAATGAAAGAAACAATATAACCAAAGTGTATGAACCCAGTTGCCCCAATGATAGAAGTTTCCTGTATGAGACAGATCTTGTGGTTAGCTTGCTTCTTTTAGAGCGCATCCTCTTGGGTCATATTTATATCGAAGGCCCGTACTTACAATCAAGGAGTCAATCGTTAGTCCCTCACCTTTGATCACCAGAGAGACAACAGTCTTCCACATTGTTCCGAGGATAGCGTCCATCAGCCACTTCAGTAATGTGTTGCGCCAGCTGAAGCGGCCCAGAGTCTCCTCCTTAGGCTCATTTGGGTCAACGGCCTTTTCGGGTTTCGTGTCTGCTCCCACGGCTCGTGGTCGCGTAGGTAGAATGTTCTCCAGATATATATCCCAAAGATACATCAGTCCTGCAAGGAATGTGAAGACAAGTAATTCTCTTGGCAAGGTGTTCCAGTAGTAGCTCTTTGGTGCGCCGCCTTCGTTATCAAGAGTCAGAGTATTGTTGGCGATAGTCCAAGGGGAAAAGGTGTGAGTGAACAAAGAAGCGGTTCGTTCATTGAAGGTAGCTGTGAAGTTTTGCCAATTTGGGTCATTCCAAATGCTTTGCTTATTCCAATTGCGATACATCTCATGATTGATGATCTTCCCGATAGCGTGGACTGCTGTGCAAAGCAGCACGGCCAAGACGGGGCCGTCCTGTCCTGTCATTTTAAACTTATATTTTCTCGAATATGGGGCCTTGGGAGGTCGAAGCTCTCTCAGCTTGTATATCATACGCATGAGGTGAAGAAGAGAATGGGGAGAGTCTAGCCATGCAAGAGTCGACGTATTTATATTACAGTAGCATCACAGCACAATCGCAACTTCAAAGTCACGAGCGTCATACTGAAGAGCGCCAAACTCAAGAGAACCAAACTCAACAGCGTCAAACTCAAGAGCGCCTCGATCAAGATTGACGCCTATTGCCCGACGTCAATACGTAGGGGAAAGAAGATAAAGTTTAACAACAATGAAGCTGCCAGGGCCCGGACATTTCAACGCAGTGGATACGAAAGCCCAACTTCAATAAAGTTCTGCGCAAAAAAGGCTGCGCTCAACATAACTCCTTCCAGTAACCTAATATCATACTTGGACCCAGGGAGTGGCTTCTCCCCGAAGTGATGACTTCCGTGATTGATTAGAGTCCAGCCACCGTTACGCCTCAAATTGCCAGAACTGTTCAAGAAAATAAATCAGAAGGCCAGATGAGAGGGAAAGAGGAAGAGGGAGGCTGGGACCGTTCACCTCGCTGTTCTTCTGGAATCATCCATTTCCTCGCAAACAGGCAGCAGTGGGTGGGGCTCAGCCAACACGCAACACGCCCTTATTGTCCCTGTCAGTGAATCAGTCATTATTGTGGATATTTTTCGACGATTGCAGGGCGTAAAAAGACATTTGCATCGCTAAAAAATTGCCTGAATAGTAGGTAAACGCCGAAGTAAGTTCCACTGTGTTCCATTCACCTCGAAAGTCACGGCAAACTCTACCTACGACAGCCAAACACAAATGCCCTGTGAATCATTGATTAGGACTTGAAAAAACTTAGACAATGCGAGATTGAAAGCATAAATTAAGTAAAGAACAACCTTGAGCAGCAGTTGTTTCCCGCATCCTTCATTCCCTTCCACACCACACTCCCTCCACTCCATTTTCCATCAACCAAACATTTGATACTTGCGCATCTTTCCCTGGAGCCTTTGTTCATTATGGCTTCATCAACCTCAGCCCGCTCTAAGACTCTTCAGAGCATTACGTTGACAAAAATTCGGGAGCTGGAAAAGCAGCGCGAGAGATACGAAGCTCAAAAAAATCAATTGCTTCAAGATGCAGATTCTTACGCCGATCAACTGGTGCGGATCAGGAAACTGCTTCACGGAGTGGTTAAAATATGCCCAGATCAAAGAGACGACAGCATTGAGAATATCCATCACTGGTTGAATCAGGCAAAGTACGACAACTCAGTTCCGCAAGAGCTCGTCGACCAATATGAGCACAGCCTACGCTCCAAACTCGAGGTACCAACAAGAAAGCTCAGCTTGGGGCACCTATACGCTCGCTTGGTGACCGAGTGGATGGACTCGTCGGCTGGTGACGGAGAAGCCACGGCGGCTGAGGAAGACTCCTTCGAGGTGCTCGACCGCCAGAAGCAGCGCTTGCAGGAGCTATGTGACCATTTTGAACAGGTGGTCTTTGAACCGCTCGAAACAGACGAGAAGGAGATTCAAGTCTATCTCCAAAATCTATTTGAACCAGACCATAACGAAAAGGCGACAAAGAATTTTGGGCAACTGAAACAAAAAATAGCAGGCCGATGCAGAATACTTTTCGAGCGTAATAACCGGGCATTCGACCTTGTTACGCTGAGGTGGTGTATCAAGGGGTTGCTGAAAGAGGATCTATTAAGTGAGGAAAAGCAGGTCATTCTACGAGAGTTTCTCGATGACGATGTCGTGTTGGATGAGATTGCGGATGTCCTCAACATGAGAGTCTCTGACTTCGAGAATTGGGATTGGAATGCCGGCCCAGATGGAAGTAAGTCCACCCAGTTCCCTCTATTGCATGTTTCAATCCGTCAACTCACCACATTCCTGTCTAGTTCCCGTTCTACCAAGACAACAGTTGAATGGAAAGTATAGAATTTGGATGGACGAAGACGTGCTGCAGGCCATTTTTATTTACTATTTTGGCACCACGCTCTCTATTCTTCTCAAGAATGAGCTTGAAACCCTCGTATTTTCTAGCAATTCTTTGTGGAAAACAAGCACCGGATCCCAGCCTGATTCTGATCAGGAGACAAGACGCAAGTACTACATGGCCTACAGGGCGATCCCCCCGAAAAGTGCTGATGCTGTCCGAATGGAACAGTACAGAAACCACTTCTTCTTGTCAGCGTTGCCTGATGATGTGGATTCAATTCCAGGGGCGTACGATGACGACGACGGTGACGATGAAGATCGTTCAGATGATGGGGACGATCAAGGTTCTAAAAGTACGAAACAAAGATTGCTTGAGACATTGGCTACTGAGCTGTTGCTTCACCGTTCGCTAAACGGTGAAGTTGCCATGGTTCAGACCGATCTGCAATGGTTTGGCGCGGGTTTGTCCCACTCCACAATCCTTGCCGTCCTCCGTTTCTTTGGCTTCACCGACGCGGCTGTGTCCTTCTTTAAGAAGTTCTTGGAGGCTCCCTTGAATATTCACTCGCCAGAATTTCCGAACGGAAAGGGTGCCCGAGTTCGTCGTCGCGGGATGCCAATGGCACATGCCCCCGAGAAGCTGATTGGCGAACTTGTTCTATTCATTCTAGATGTTGCCGTGAACCAGCAAGATGGTATGCTTCTCTACCGCCAGCACGATGACCTCTGGTTCGTCGGTGAGCCTGAGCATTGCGGTCGCGCCTGGAAGACTCTCAAACATTTAGCTGGAATTCTTGGCTTGGAGTTCAACGAGAAGAAAACTGGCTCGGTTTATTTCAAAGAAGGGAAGAGAGACGCGGAAATTTCCCAAGTTTTGCCAGAGGGAGCCGTTCGCTTTGGGCATTTAATCCTGGACCCGGAGACTGAAAAGTGGAAGATCAACCAGGACCAGGTGGACGCCCACTTGAAACAGTTCAAGAAACAGTTGGATGAATGCAAGAGCGTGCTGCAATGGGTCCAGACCTGGAACAGTGTCATGGGCCGCTTCTTCGGTGACAGCTTTGGCCAGCCAGCGTACTGTTTTGGCGGCGAACATGTGAGGAGTATCCTTGAAACTTATCAATCGATGCAGCGATTCTTATTTGCGGAGGGCCGAGAGAATGATAGGGAAAGTAACACAAGTGTCGTCAGTCATCTGAGGAAGATGATTGAGACCCGATTTGGTGTGATCAATCTGCCAGATGCGTTCTTCTATTTGCCTGAGCAACTTGGGGGACTCGGTCTGCGAAACCCCTTCATCAAAATGCTTCAGATCAACAGGGAGTTAGAGGGAGAAACTCCCCAGAAAATCATTGAAGAAATGTTGAGAAAAGAGCAAGAGGCTTACAAAGAAGCCAAAAGGGAGTTCTACGCAATAGAGAGCGCTGAGCGGCGTGTTTCCCGTTGCACCAGGCACTTTGCGCTGTCAGCATCAACACTCACTCGCCTTCTCACCGAGGAAGAGCTGGAGACATTCTTCAGCATGGAGGAATTCATCAAGTGGAGGGCTAGGTACGGTTTTGAATTTGTGGATGCGTACAAGCGTTTGCGCAGTGCGCCGGATCGTTGTAACCCGCGGCTAGATTCCGATGTCAACAAGGCGGTTAGAACTGCATCCAGCAGTTCGCGACAAGGGGCACAGGTGGTAAACAAGAGCGAGGTCGAGTGGGCGCTGCAGATGCATCGCGAGTCTCTCAAGCGAGATTACGGACAGCTCAGTCTGATTGAGCACAGGTACCTACTGCTAGGAGTGCTTGCCGCTTTGAGAGGCAAGCCTGTGAGATGGACCATGGTTCTATGAGATATCGTCTTATGCTCGTTATAACTAGGTACTAAGTTCGTGTAGAATCTTGGGAGGGACCAGAATGAATAACTATCCTTAACATAATAGTCAGTCTTCCATCTCAATGTTGACAAGCTAATGTGCTAGGGTTCATGCATTTTACAACCCGAATACACAGGCTTCCCCTCTCTCACCCCAGAGCCAATCATGCAAGCTCTTACGATTCTCAACACGTTGCGAGTCAGTACCATGCAGTAAATCCAGGGGAAATAATATTTGCCATAGGCTTGTGCTACTTGGTTAGCTTCCTGCTGCCGCCAAGACGCAAAACTGATCAGGGTGCCAGGGTGCATGATCTCACTCTGGCATGTGTCCCTGACCAGTCAACAAGTTTTACTACATGAATCGCCATGAAATTTCTGATATGCGATGATCACCATCGGGGTCCTTGCAAAATAGCATGGTTTGTCGATCATGACCTATCAAGTTCGCCGGGGACCCGAGACCTCACCGCAAGCTGAGTTCATCCTTGAAACGATGCCGATATGACTGGGTGATCGATCCAGGGGATACTGGAGGGGGCGGGGCGGGAACTGGTCTCTGCGCAAGAAAACATCTCGCCTGAACACCTCATTGTCCCCTTTCGTCAATGGTTGGCCATCGAAGTCGGCACATCCAGCCAAATCTCGAAGACGCCAGGCTTGAAAGAGGAACAAGCAATGAGAATGCCACCGCATCACCTTGCTAGTGGCGAGACCGGTCATCTTAGCGGTGAGTAGCGGCCTTCAAAAATCATTGATGAAACATTGGTAATTCTTTGCCGCCCGTTCTCAGACAGGCTGCTTGGCGTCATTCCCCATCTGTGCTGGCTGCTTCTCCTGATTCTTCCCCGGTACACTAGACAACGTTGCCCCAGTGGCACTACGTGATACTGAGGATTAGTGATATGCATGCAACTGCCACTAGCTAGCTTGGTTTCTTGGTCTTGCGACGCGTAAACATTGCCGGTAATGCAGGGGCCTTGCATGCCTGTTCAACTTGCCGCAGAATTCAGTTCGATATATCAAAAGCCATCTAGAGTCGGGAATCAGACAAGCCAGATCCAACTCCTCCCTTCAGTGCTTGTTTCCAAACTCCAAAAACTCATAAGATCGAGATACTACAGAAGATGGGAAAGGTGTTGGTTTCATGGCATTCGTATCAGCGGGTCTCTGGCTTCGAGCTAGGCGCTGGCTAATATTAAGCTGAGTGACTATGGATGAAGGCTGACGTTTGCTAACTGAACTGAGTTAACCCACTATTGATCTGCAGTGATCACACCCCCATCCGAGGGTTTCCGGGGAGTGGTGAATCTGGAGGCTGACCCCTGATCCAAGCCGATTGGGTGCACCACGGCTGTGGGAGAGAGTTGGGGAACTCGGGGAAATTAGGATCATCCCTTGCGATGAAGCTCGCATAAACGCATTACGAAACGTTTACATACGTAGCCTTTCGTATTTTGCCAAGCGAGCCGAAGGCCGATTCCAGAAGTTCTAGCGGCCAAACAAACGTGGCAAAGGCCACCGTCTCGCAACTATGTCTGCATCGGATGGTTTTGTCAGTCTTAGTCCACCGCAGCATGCTCTAGCAGTCGAACCCCACGTGGGATCGGCTTCACTCACCTACGCTATCCCTCCTTCTCACTGGTAGAGACAGCAGTCATAGCCATTACTAGACCTAAAGAAGTTCATTAACAAAGGTCCGGGTGGATGATGTGCCTCTTTGGGGGTTTCGTGCATCTCGAGTCAAGATCCATGGTAGCCTAGCTCTTCTGTAGTCATATCTGGCATGCGCTTTCGCTTATCCTCAAATGTCCCCTCTATGCGTCCCTTTTTCCTTTTCCTTGTTCCCCGTGTTGATATGCTGCGTTGCTGGAGACTTGTCGATTGACCGTAGGTGGAGGGACGCCTTCTAACCACTCATCATGGGCGCCAAATATGGCCTCCTCATCCCGGATACCTACGAGCTCGAGGTCCCAGACGATGTGGACATGAACACGACGAGCATCTTCTGGGGTCTCTCTCTCGGAATCGCGATCTTCTCCGCCACCAAAGCAGGCAAACAGACGTATCGGTCATGGAGGCGCACGCACAGGATAACGGCATATGTTTTTATGATCTGGGCTGTCTGGCTTTCGTCTCAGGTCTTGGGAGTGTTGGCTTGGGGTTTCCAGAGGGGCTACATTCCTCCTAGCTTCGGCTTTTACTTTTGCGTCGGTAGGTTGTCTGTGGATTGTCGTTGGCACCGTGAGGTTTGAGCTAACCTGATTGCGCAGCGCTGTTTTGGGCATTTCAGATCCAATTCCTTCTTCAGATCATTCTCAATCGGCTTGGACTCCTCATCGTGGTGCCGGGAAAAGCGACCAGGCTCAAGTGGATTGTTTTCGCCATCATTCTTGCGGTGAACATCAGTGTGTTTATCATCTGGATGCCAGCTCGCCTTCAGATCAACGATAGCTGGATTCACCTGAACTTGATTTGGGATCGATGTGAGAAGGTGATCTTCGCCCTTGTGGATGGTGTTTTGAACGGCTACTTCATCTACCTCGTCCGAACACGCCTCATCCAGAATGGATTGACCAAATACGTTCCGTTGTTCAGGTTGAACCTGTTCCTCATTTTTCTTTCGCTTTCTCTTGATGTTAGTTCTTCGGCCCCAGCCAGGTGAATGGCAAAGCTGATAGTTTTCCAGGTTGTTCTCGTCGGAACGATGTCGCTGAAAAACAGCATGGTGTAAGTATTGTCCACATCACACTCATAATGAAACTATGATACCCGCCAACAATGATCTAATCAACTCGTCCAGCTATCTGTCTTTCCATCCTGTTTGTTACCTTCTAAAACTGCAAATCGAGCTGAAGATGTCCGAGCTCATCACCAAGATCGTTCGATCGACCGGTAACCACGCCGCAAGCGACGATATTTATTACCGACATACCTCGACCAACGGGAAGAAAGGCAAGAGTGCTCCAACGGGAGGAAAATCAAGATCCAAGGTCACCGACATGGGGCGTGGCAACTCTATATACCAAGGAAACCCGAATACGACCAATATTACGCAAATAGAAGCCGACGATGAAGACATCGAATTGCAGAATACGGGACCCGGTATTGTCAAGACGGTGGAAACGACGGTTGCCACTTTCGCAGCCAGCGAGAGGGATCCGGATGGTTCCAGCCAGAGCAGCTCGACGCGACATCTTCATTATCCTTAACGAATGCTGGCGATGATATAATGACGGCGATACTACTATTAGATATGGCATTGATCAACGGCTTCTGGAATATTCGAATATATACTAATGCATCTAGAGATATATATACTCAACTTGATAGATATTGTAATTTACCCAATATACATAACCAAAGAAGAAACATCACAAGAGCAATCAATAAGTTGCTGTCAAGCGCTGTACAAGATAATCTCCACTCGTAATGCCTGGATATTTCTTTTCTCCTTCTGCGGCATATGTTCCTGGGAGCGCCTCAATGAAACTGGAGAAGTTGGGATTGCAAAAGTATCTTGTGATTTCAATCAGCTTTCCCGATGGCGTGTTGGTGGAATGGCATCTACTCACGCAATACTGTACCGGGCTGGATGTGTTGGGCCCTGCTTGAAGGGCGGCTCAACGACGCGATGAATCGTACTTCGGATGGTATCGTTGCTCCAACGGGCGAGGAGGTCGCCTGCGTTGACAACAATGGTTCCCTCGATGGGCGTGGCATCAACAAACGTGCCTGTCGGGCTTCTTACCTGTAAACCACCTCGTGCGTCTTGGAATAACAACGTGATGGAACCATAATCCTACCCTCTGGTCAGCTTCATGGAGCAAATTGGTCTCGACCTGCTGGTATATATGATGGCCTACGCTGTGCGCGCCGGCTCTCACGGCATTTGCATTATTTGCGAACACGCTCGAGTCCACTGCTGGATAATGCAGAAGTCGCAGGGTATTATCTCCGACGTCGAGATGCTTGTCAAAGAAGCCATCATCCAGGCCCATGCCGACAGCGATTGCGCTCATCACCTGGAAGTGCAACCCCTTGCAGAGGTCATGGAAGCTCAACATGTCCTTTTTGAATCCAGCCATCGGTCCCTCCTCCCGCTGCGGCCACTGATTCGGATGCTTCTCCTCACCTTCGCGTCCGATCTCGTAGCTCTCCTTCAAATCCGGCGCGGCGTCCCGCTCCTTTGTAATATCGCCAATGTCCATCTGCTCCGATACCTTTTCTTTGCCGGGGGCAGAATACCCGCGATTGGCCTCGGGGGTTGTCCACGCGACGTCCATCTTGGCCTCGTCCGACTGGCGGAAGAAGTTGGCAGACATGGAGAACGTGTGCTGGACCACGTCGAGCGGGATCGGGTGGTTCTTGAGGTAGATGAAGCCGGCATTCTGGAAGCCGCGTAGGATCTCGCCGGCCGTCTCCTTGCGCTCGTCGGGCGTTCCGTAGAGGAATTCCGAGAAGTCGATGAGCTATGCCGGCTGTTGTTAGCTATAGAGACAGTGCGCAACCCTTCTCCGACCTACAGGAATGACAAGGCCCTCCTTCTCGACCGCTGCGCCGCCCATCCTGGCGATTTGTCGTCTCTCAGGCGCGACAGAGGGCACGCTTGGTCCGGTCCTCGGGCGCTTCGAGCAGCCACTGGTTGTCGCTAATGGCAATGGCGAGGCGCGCTGGGAAATGATTGTAGAATACCTGGATATCTGCGATCGCGGCGCAAAGCTCCTCAGACGGACAAATGGCGTCGTCAATCTGGCTCTGGGCATGATGGTTGGTTTGAGGAGAGTGACGTGAGGGGGACGACAGAAATCAACGGCTTGTCTCGGTTACACGAGGGAGGGGCACGCCACAGTGAGAGAGCTGATATGGCCATGTCTTACCTTTTGTCTTCCTTATCTCGCATGCATGGCAGCTGGCTCTCCGCACGTCAAAGAGGCGATAGGCTTTGATAGCAGGGTGACAGTCGGGCATCTTAGGATCCCCCCTGTCAGACCTCACATGTGCTCGTTCCTTTTATATCCCGAGTCGCTATTCCGGAGCTCCCCTGTTCGGAATTCGCCGTCTGCCTATTCAAATACGTGAATCTCACTCTCATTATTTATGTTATCACAACTGGAATGATATCTCCATCAACAAAACGGACGTCATTGATATTCTTCGTTGGAATCCATTTGTTGGTCAAAAAAAGTCAAACTCCACTCGATTTAGGGCCTGGAAGGACCAAATGCGGGGTTCCCCAGCCGGAGAACACCACTGAAGGGCCTCAGAGCCTTCATGGTATTTATCAGTCCTGGTTTGAGCGCTCCCTTATTGCACGTCAGAGAAATTTGATAGTGGCTCTCATGATTCTTCCTGAACTAATATTTGTTCCCGAAAGACAACTTATTTTAAATATTCATTGATTAATCAACAGGTAGAGCAAGATGGCAAAAAGAATCCTTGAGGTGCTCGATATACAATCCCGCACAATCATAGAAGCGTCGCTAAGTTTCATGTAATTTTTCTTCAATTATTTGAAGATAGACCTACTGAACTAAAAGTACAAATTGGGTCGATTTTTGCTCAGTTCTTTCGCCTTGCCCTCCGAAGCCTGCGGAGTGTTTCCCCACGATGGGTCGATTAGTGTCGCGGGGGCTGGATTCAAGTCAACAGGTGGCCCTATTACTTCACTTTGAGAGGCCAGGTTTGGCGCGTGATTGAAGGATGAAGCTGGGCTCAGGTCAGGGCCCTGACTCTGACTATAGTGGCCGGGCTGCCAGGCCACATCATGGGGTGACAGGTTTTGCTGCGAGCTATGAGTACCACTTGCTGGGGTTGCTGTTCCAACATGCTGCTCATGCCATCTCCTGATGTCCATCATAGATTCCAAGGGAAAGCTGTCCCATTCCTTGACCCTGTCGGCTTTACTTTGGTCAGGGGTGTGTGCGAGGTTCGAAGGATAGAATGTGCCTTCGTCAATATATTGGAGAAGGCGATGTAGAGCATGCTCTGTTTCTGCTAGGCGAGCTTCTAGTCTGTTAATGAAACCAATTGGGATTCCCCTGTGATTTATTTGATAATCAGCACGGATGAGCCAAGTTGGAGGCTGGGATTGCTCAATCACCGTCTGCTCTGCTCGGGATAGTGGCAGTTTGCCGGGTCATTGCTGCACTGTTGGCAATTTGGTCTGGGAAGAGCATCAGATTCCAGAACACCAATCCTTGGCCAAGATCTACAGTGGGTTCATACAGCTGACGATCGCACTATTAAAAAATATCAATCATCAGTATCAACCCGAGATGCTCGGCATTGGGGAGACCCTCCTCCACTGCCAAGAGACTTGACTGTGGGGGACCTGGACGTGAGTGTATCCGTACCTTGCGTTTTCTCTGCCGACAATTGGTACAAGCAATTGGATTCTGGGTCGGACCAGAATCCTCTCGTACCACTAATTCATTTTCGGCCATGCGAACTGGCGCTTGGAGGCGAGAAAAGCCCCACGGTTGAACTGAAGAACAGCCAGAGAACAAGGGCGAACCCATGGCCCTCATAGACAAATAAAACCCCGCCGCCCGGACTTTTCATTGTCCGGAAATCACTACCCCATCCGGACCCTAACATTCTTCCTCGTGACTCAACGTCACGGGTCAACGGCCGTAGACGATCCGAACAACGTCCCTCCCTACCGTTGGAACGGTTGGATCCATATGCACCAATGCACCGGCTCCATCTCGAGGCTGGCTGCAATGGATGCTAATCAGTCACCCCTGAGCACCTCCGACACTACCTCCTGCTTCACGCCGTATCCCGCAGACTCCCGGAAACGGAAGCGGTCTCTAGCTGGCTCCCAGCCCCCTCGTGAATATGGATTGATGCGAGACTCTGGCGAGCATGGCGTTGCTCGTTTCGTAGGCAGCGGCAGCGGCATTCACTATATACGCGCGGTGTATCTGCGGCTTGCCCGCAAGTCGGCTTCCAGGACTACCCAAACCAACACGGCTGCCGTGAACACCTTGGTCCCAGGAGAAGACGATCAGCTCAGGCAATCTCCTTCAGACAACTTCGATACTAGGAAGCCGATCTGGAAGCCCAACGAGGTTTCATCTATCCCATTGGCCGACTCCCATTCACCTAGCTTCGAATCCTTGATTGACTGGTCCAAGAGCTTTTTCGAATCCTGGCACCCCGTCTTGCCATTCCTCCATGGCCCAGATGTCCTCCACATATTCGAAGAGGCCTCTTCCAAAGGGGTGGCGTCTCTATCTGTATTGGACTATAACATCCTGAGATCGGTACTGTCTATTTCGCTAGCAGACAGCCGCCAAGGAACGCCCTTATCAACACCCATCCCCTCCCATCTCGTCTTCCAAAGTGTCGAAGAAGCTGTGACCAGCTCTCAATTCGCTCTCAGCCAACCAGCATCAATCCGAGCAACACAGGCAGCCCTCTCCATCCAGCTCTTTCTTACATCCATGCTATACCTCAACGCCGCTTCCCGACTAGGCGGCTTGATTGTTCGAATGGCGTTCCACCTCGGGCTCCATCGATGCCCGGCACGCTTTGGCTTCTTCGGTCCAGAGGACGCGTCCATCAGGCGCCGGGTATTGTGGTGCATCTACATACTGGAAAGGTTTCTCTGTCAGTCTCTGGGACTCCCATTAGACATCCGAGACGACGACCTCGACGTCTGCTACCCAGGAGAGGAGCGCCACGGCGCCCCAGGAGCAAACAATGATGGAGTTGAAAGGCTCCAGCTTCTTACGCTTCTAGCAAAACACGCTCGAATACGCGGTTTGATATTGGAACTGCGGAACAAGTCTGTTCAGCAGCGACAAGACACTGCGGACAAAACAGCCGTTGTTCAAATTGAGTTGGCTAGATGGGCCAACGAGATCCAAGACGTCGAGGAGGAGGAAGAAGAGGAACTTGATGCCGTGGAGGAATCCGATAAGCCGGGCCATCGCCCCAAATTATCCCCCAGCCATCGCCTCATGCTCTTGGTTCTGAAGCACGAGTCCACGATATGCTTGAACCGCCCCGCGCTGGCCTCTGAGCCCTCTCTGCCCTCATACTCCTCTGCTTTCCAGTCTTGCATTTCCGCGGCAAAGTCCATCTGTAGTATTTTCAATCGCCACAAAAGGAAGTATAAATTGGCAAACGGCGAGTCTGGAAAGCGGCTCAGCCTGCCTTTACTTTGGCCTTCATTCACCTGGTCGATATGGATCAGCGCTTTTGTTCTCCTGCACGCGACCTTTGAGAATCAGGTTCCACTGAGCAGGGCGATGAGGTAACATTCTATTCTATTGGTTTTTTTTTTTTTTTTCTTTTGGAAAGATTCTTAACTTCTTCTTCAAGGCATGCGATGGCGGGAAAGGAGACTCTCAGCCACTTAGCGATGCGACAAACAGCCTGGCCAGAATACTGCCTCGAGGCTATTGACGAGCTGCTCTCGGCAGTGCAGGAAATGTCTCACCCTCATCCCCCAGCGATCGGAGATCTACCGCCCACAGTTCCCTCGCACCAGGGACACGTCGACAAAGGCACCTCCCAGTCCACATCTCTTGGTCCGCGAAGTAAACGACCTGCTTCGGGCGCCAGATGGAACATGTCAAGCGGCGTACCAGACGGCAGCGGTACGCGACACAGTTTCCACGAGAGTCAAGGCACCGGTGAGACTCACGAGCGAAACCACGGCACCGTCGCATTGTCAGAGCCGAGTATTTCGCCGCCGCAGCCAGGTCCTCCTGAATCTCACGGATCACTACAGCCGCGGCCACAAATAGCTTCGAGCGTCAATTACAACATTAACACTCCTACTTCCAATCGTTTTGACGTCTTTAATCCGGGGATTACCGACACGTTGGGAGGCTCTGCCGCTACCGGCCCTCTTGAAGGGCAAGACTCTCTGATCTGGTATGATCAGCTGTTTGCCAGCTCTTTTAATGCTATTGATAACCCATTCTTGGTGGCATCGGATTTTTAATGTATATTACAATGGAGTTCTTTGGAATTGAGTTTACAACAGTGTACATAACAAAAATGTAGATTAAACTTGACAGAAAATAAGAAGTAAGTTGGCCCTGTGCCAATGTATTGATTGTGACAAGGAGACAGCCAAACTAACCAATGTCCGATTTAATAAAATACCAAATGAATTCATGATAACAAAGATTACAATTACATTCTAGACAATGGTCTAATCCATAGACAACCAAGCATTTAAATTGTATTGCGTAGGTAGGGAGCATCAAGATGTAGGGTAAGTAGGTCTGGTACCAACCACGAATGCCTGTAATTAGATACCCTGAATAGCGGATAATTGTATGCCCGAAGATGTATCTGGTAATCCCTGCGATAATGAAAGATGACTAAAACAAAACCAAGGTCCAGAAATGCCGCCAGGCGGACAAAGAAATGTCCGCAGTCAGTTCATCCTCCACCCGCCAAGTCAACACGTTACCCGAATCCCCACAAGGAGGAGACATGCGACGGATTTGCCATTGCAATTCCGGGCTCGGCAGCGAGCCTGCAGCCATAAAAAAGAGTTGGTGGAAGTTGATGTCGTGCATATTTTGATTTGCTTCCTCACCTCTTCTCCATATCTAGGCCGGCCTCAATAAGAGCAAGTCTCCGTCACATCATCTTCATCATGTCTCCCAGCGCCAACCCCGTCAAGAAGGCCTACAGCATTGCCTCCATCCCCGCCGATGGCATTGGCCCAGAGGTTGTTGAAGCTGGCATTGAGGTTCTCCAGGCATTGTCCGGAACTCTCCAGTCCTTTGATTTGGACTTCACCCACTATGATTGGAGTTCAGACACGTACAAGAAGACTGGAAAGTACATTCCCGATGGTGGTCTCGAGCAATTGAAGAAGCACGATGCCATTCTCTTTGGTGCTGTCGGTGCCCCTGGTGAGTCTTATATTTGAACGATGGTCACATAGAATCTCAAGTTTGGCAACTAATCAAATGAACCAGACGTTCCCGACCACATCTCTCTGTGGGGTCTTCGCCTGGCCATCTGCCAGCCTTTCCAGCAGTATGCCAATGTCCGCCCTACGAGGGTGCTGAAGGGCACCCAGTCTCCCCTCCGCAACTGCAACACCGGAGATCTTGACTGGGTCATTATCCGCGAGAACAGCGAGGGTGAATACGCCGGCCACGGTGGCCGATCCCACCGCGGTCGCCCCTGGGAGACGGCCACCGAGGTGTCCATCTTCACCCGCCACAGCGTCGAGCGCATCATCCGATTCGCTTTTGAGATTGCACAGAAGCGCCCTCGCAAGCTCCTTACCGTTGTGACCAAGAGCAATGCCCAGCGAAACGGCTTGGTCCTGTGGGACGAGGTCGCCGCTGATGTCGCCAAGGACTTCCCTGATGTTACTGTCGACAAGATGCTGGTCGATGCCATGACTACCCGCATGGTTCTCAAGCCCGAGACCCTGGACACCATTGTCGCTACCAACCTTGTAAGTGCACTTCGGGTGCCGTGAAGAGGCAACTCATGATACATGGATTTTTTGGACTAACATGGATTTCTCTAGCACGCTGATATTCTATCCGACTTGGCTGCCGCTCTGGCTGGCTCCATCGGCATTGCCCCTACAAGCAACCTGGACCCTACGCGTGAGAACCCGTCCATGTTCGAGCCCATCCACGGTTCTGCCTTTGACATCACCGGAAAGGGCGTCGCCAACCCCGTCGCCACCTTCTGGACCGCCGCGGAGATGCTGGAGTGGCTCGGCGAGGGCGAGGCTGCGCAGAAGCTGATGCAGGTCGTCGAGAATGTGTGCGAGGCGGGCGTCCTCTCTGCCGACTTGGGCGGTAACGCCACGACGAAGCAGGTTACCGCCGCTGTTGTGGCCGAGATAAAGAAGAGCTTGGGCAAGTCTGCGTAGATATGAACTCATGATGTAAACGTATAGGATATAGGTATTATGCATTGTAATTGAGAAGCACTGGGAATGACCACAATGATCTGTGAACTATGTTGTACAGTAAACTATGTGAACATTTTGCCGCTCAGGGGCGGTACTACATGTACTCATTGGCTTAGAGGCGGTCTATAGTCTGGATAACGGATGATGCTTCTGCCAGCATGTTTCTTTATAGCCATGGCACATGAGGAGGAAATGAGATTTACCTTATGGCACAGGACCGTATCAGTGGGCTCAGCTGTTGCAAGACCCGCTGCAATTCAGCTCTTGGCGATCATCCGCTTGGCACTCAGCCAGATGACGCGTTGTCTTACTCAAACAACCATCCGGGATGCCCCGGGGGACATCTGGGAATCAACAAACGATGTGTGACCCTTTCTGGGGATGAAAACGAATCAATTCTGAATCAATTAAGCTTAAAGGATTGATCCACGCCAGCCCGCCTCTAGTTCAATTACTTAACAGGTACGAATCCTGAAACATACGCATAAGTTCTATGACGAGGCGTCACGTGGAGTCTTTCCGCGTGCATTAACTAATCATGAGCAATCATGAATCATTCTTGCCCCTTGCATGTCTTCCCATCCCCCGGATCTGAATTCCTATCCAGCCTGTGTCGACCGTCTAACGCGATGGTGAAGCGCACATTGCCATTCCTTGCCCTGGCAGGACTGCCCAGCGTGGTCCTCGCTGCTGACTGCGCCAATACGCTGACCGTCGGCTATCCCACGCCCGCTGTGGCCGACGGCTGGGCGTTCCGCCTGGTTGCCAATGGCTTCACCAGGCCCCGCGGCCTGGTTTTCGACAACGATGGCGGTTTGCTTGTGGTTGATTCCGGTGTAGGCTTGATCCATCTCACGCTGAAGGATGACGGGGGGACATGTTTGTCAGTCAGCGAGAAGACGACGCTGATAGGCAATCGAAACGTACGTTCATCATTTTACTGAAGGGAGATTGTAGGGCCAGATGAGAGTGTTTCGAGCTCGGTCGTATCTGCCTACTGACACATAATTTTTTGAATTCTAGCTCAACCATGGCGTCGCTCTATCTTCTGATGGTAGCGCTATTTACGTTTCTACATCTGACAAGGTGTTATCATGGGGATACAATAGCACATCCGTCAAGGTGACTGGCACCTCTCGCACACTGGTCAAAGATATGGCCAGCGGTGGACATACCACTCGTACACTTCTTGTGTCCCAAAAACAACCCGGCCTCCTTCTCGTCTCCCGCGGGAGCGATGGGAACATGGATATGGGCACGCTTGACATTAACTCAGGCCGTTCTCAAATCCGCAGCTTCAATATTTCCCTCCTCGGCCAAAACAGTGACGGGATCAATTACACAGACGGCGACGTCGTTGGCTGGGGTCTGCGCAATTCTGTCGGTGTCGCCGAGCATCCTTCCACCGGTGGCATCTGGTCTGTCGAGAACTCTGTTGACCAGCTCCAACGCCAAGGCGAGGATATTCACAACGACAACCCTGGAGAGGAGTTGAACTATCACGGTACTGCAGAGAAGCCTGACGGTCGTAATTACGGATACCCTTCGTGCTTCACGGTCTGGAGGACTGACGATTTCCCCAACATCGGCTCTCTCAAGACCGGTAATAGCTTCGCCGTTGATGATGCAGAAAATTCGGTGAACGATACCACCTGCAACGCGGATTTTATCTCACCGCGCCTTGCCCTTCCTCCACACACAACGCCTCTTGATATCAAGTTCACAGACGATGGTTCCACCGCATACGTCTCTTTCCACGGCAGCTGTAAGTAATACCTGCTCCATCAGAGTATAAAATGCGATTGGTCTTGAAGAAACATAGTCTGACAGATTAATGACCAATCTAGGGAACCGAGATGAGCCAGCTGGGTACCGTGTTGCCAGTATCGCCTTCAAGGACGGCCAGCCCACGGCAGCCAACGACAGCCAAGATGCGGCCGTTGACTTGTTGACAAATCCGGACCTGTCCAAGTGTCCAGGCAGCTGCTTCCGCCCAGTTGGCCTTGCGTTCGACTCCAAGAAGCGCCTGTGGCTCACGTCTGATAGCACGGGAGAGATATTTGTACTGGAACGTGGTGGTAATTCAACTAATACTGGGAGCTCGGGCAATGACGACAGTGCTGGATCACGATATAGGCCCAGTAGCGCCTTTGATAGAGTGATGGCAGTGTTGTTTGTAGTTTATATCGCTGTGGTTTATTTGAGCTAAGTGGTACAATGTAGCCTGGGAAAAGGACCCAAGTAACAAATCTATCATGATTTTGTGATTCCCCGTTACAATTTTATTCTAGATGTACAAGTATGAGCTGAAGCCGCCGAAATCATCAGTCGTCCTCTTGATCATGTCCACGGCAGAGCGATCATACTCTCTCGCGAATGATTCAATTCCCGTCATGGAAGGTCCCGAAACCGAGGGACTCGCTCCCGTCAAGGTCTGGGAAAAGTGTGACATTCTCAGACAGATTCCTCCAGAATCACTGTCTTCCGCGCCGCCGTTTTCGAAATCCTCCAGAGCCGCCATGGCCGCCTGCTGGCAGATGTACTCAATATCCGAGCCTGTATACCCGCTCGTCTTCTCCGCCAGCTCCTCCAGATCGACAGACTTGTCAATCTTCTCCTCGCGCAGACAAATCTTGAAGATATTCTGCCGGGACGGCGTCGAAGGCAGGCCCATGTACAGTCGATTCGGCGCACGCCGCAGCACAGCCGGGTCTAGGTCGTTGGGGAAGTTGGTCGCCAGGAGCAGCAGCGGGGAGGTGATGTCGTTCTCGAACCCGCCAAACTCGCCCAGCAGCTGGTTGGTGATCTTGCGCTCCCAGTTCTTGTCCGAGTCCTTGCGCCGGCCGAAGATGCTGTCCGCCTCATCGATGAAGACGATGCAAGGGTAGATCTCGCGCGCCAGCTTGAAGAGGGCTTGGATGACCTTCTCGGCCTCGCCGGCCCACGTGCGCTCGATCTCGGCGGCCGAGATTCGCAGCATGACGGAGGAGGTCTCCTTGGCGATGACGCGGGCGAGGTGTGTCTTGCCCGTGCCGGGGGGACCGTAGAGGATCACGCCTCCCATGGCGCTCTTCTTGAGAATTCCGGTAAGTTCTGCTCGGCGGTTGAGGAGAGAGATCATGCGCTGCACACGAGATTTGATGGCGGGCTCGACCTCGATATCTGACCAGCCTTGGGAGAGTTCACCTGCAGAGTCATGTTTAGTAAACGCCAGCGGGAGGGGGATTGGTTTGGGGGTGCATGGGGTTGGGAATGCTTACTTGGATGTACTAGAGTCTTCATAATCTCTAGATCCGCATTGAACTCGCTGTAGGACTGCTCAGCTTCCTCTGTGACCCTGTTGATGACACGAACCACGCGTGGAGGTAAGTCGGCCGAAGAGCCCCCCTTTGCGTCTCTCTCGTTCCATTTACTCAACGCCTCAGATCCCTCTGACCTTTGCTTGAGGACTGCATGGATATCCTCAAGCTTGGCTGCTTTCTTTGTCTTCACCAACAATTCCCCTACCTTCATCGACTCAGGTATAGCGTGGAGTTTGCCGCTTCTGAGATATTTGGCGATGGGGTTGGTGTCGGAATCGGGGACATTCCATTCCGCATATGGCTGTAGATGGGGCAAGCTTCTGTCCTTCTCTTGTACCCTCATCTCTCTCTGGAGTCTCCTGATGCTGTGTCTCTGGGAGACAAGATCTTTATCGCGAGAAAAGGAGGCAATTTGTGCCAACGATCTGACAGGGAAAATGAGTAGTTCGAACAGATTGGGCCTCAGCCCAAAATGACGCACGCTGAACACGCTGACTCTGGGGAGGTCTGGTGGAGAAGGCGATTCGGGAAACAGGCTTACCGACCGTTTCCCTGAGCTGGGTGGCGGCTTGTCAGATCGTGAGGTTGTTGTGATCGTGATCATTCTTTTCTTGAGGTGTGGTGATGATGCCTTCAGCGCTTTGAGGCCTCGGAAAGCGAAGTTGGTCACATGGCTGAATTTTTCAAGTTGAGGGATGACAAGAATGATGGGTCGAGCGCTTTTGCCTTTGGGGTCCTGGAAAGTGAAATGGCCTCGGGGTTGAGGCGGTTGTGTTGGGGGACTGTCACTGCTGTTGCCTGCTTCATCCTCTTCGACTTTCGCGCTCTTTTCATCGATGCCACTTTTCTCCTTACTCTTACTATCCTCCTCTCTATTCTTCTTTTCATCGTCTTTCTCTCCAGCCTTCTTCTCCTCATCCGCACTTAATCCATTCTCCTTCACTTCATCCTCCTTCACTCCATTGAGCTCCACTTCCATCTTCTTCTTTTCCTCCTCCTTGCGTACTCCGTTGATCTTGAAACCATTTTCCTTGACCTCCCTTGTTTCCATGTCATCATCTTTGATATCTTTCTCGTTCACGCCATTCACCTTGACCCGGTTCTCTTTGACTGGGTTCTCCACCCCATTCTCCTGAACCTCAATCTTCTTCACTCCGTTCACGTTGGCTTCGTGCTCCTCGACTTGACTCTCCTTGATCCCATTCATCATGGCTTTGGCCTCCGCAGTCTCAGCCTCATTGGCTCCGTTCGCCTTGAATTCAGTCTTGGTATCATCAGCCTTAGTAACCTCAACTTGTTTCGTATCATCTTCCTTCTTCTTGGCCTCTGCGTCTTTCTCGTCTAGAGCCGCTCGGGCATGTGGCGAGGTCAAGATAGCGCGGTAGAAGGTAGCGGCATTCTCTTTAATCTGATTCTTGACTGGGGGCAACTTCAATTCATCCGCTGGCTCCGGCGGTCGGATGCGGCCCTTCCTAAGATCCACCAGCCATAAGAACATGGACGAGATCGTCCGGAACTCGGATACGGTGCGAGAAAGTGCCCGAGAAAGAGATGGAAGCGCATGGCGCGATGGCATGGACTTTCTTTGGGTGAAAGCCTGCCCGGAGTATATAGCCGCCATCTTATCACTTCTATGGCTTAGTAGATACGTCGTTTTGTATGTGGGTGCCGGAGGCGGAGGAGGATTGCTGGCGGGTTTGCGTGGCTCTGACGTAGAATCTAACGACAGAATAGACTCGGCAACGGATTCCGAATCTGTATCCGCGTCGGATTTTGAACCTGAGTCTGGGCTTGGATCTGAATCTGAGCCTGAATCTGAGCCCGAGTCGGAGCCTGAATCGGCATCCGATGCCGGGGTGGAATCGTTTGGAGGATTCAAGCCTGAATCCGTCTTCGGTTTCTTCTTGGGCTTCTTAGGCTTTTTCGGCAAAGGCTTCAAAAACCAGTGAAGAGATGCCCTGTTTCCTGCCTGGGGCTTGGGGGTCTGGCGCAGGTAGAAGTACTCTGCAAGGTCGTGCAGGTCGTCAATATCCAGGACAATCATATCGGCCTCGACATCACTGGCTAACTTGGCCACCATGGATACCAGGAAGTCGCGCCCTGGATAGTCATTGTCCGGAAGTCTCAGAAGAACCGCGTCATCTGTAAAGGATGCGGCATCGCCCTCCTTCGACTTTGGCGCGACAAGTCCCAGGAGCTCATCGTAGATACACGGCTCGACCTCGTACCGGTTGCTGGTGGCTTTCTTGGCCGAGCCGTCCTTTTCACTGCGCGACCTTGCGCCGGGTTTTAGATCCTTCGCGACAGGCTCTTTACTGGTCTCCTCCCCACGGAGGGTGATTTGCGCTGCGAGGTGGTTGATTTCGGGCGCGGTCTTGACGCAGTTCCTGAGGAACCAGTCCGGCGCAGGGACGACGGGGCTGTCTGCATCCATGGCACTGTCGCCGGGTTGAGAGATGGCAGCAGGACGTAAAAGCGATCCGGGGCGTCTGAAGAGACCAACGCGCACTGTCGATCAGCTCGCGGGGAGCATGGAGGATGGTTGTTCGGGGATGCGCGCGAACCAGATGACGGTGGTTAATGCCTACAATATCCTTGCAGAAGCTGAGCCCGGCGCGTTCCACAGCGGGGCAC